ACAGGAGAAAGAGAGGTTAGAAAATGTAAAAGTGAATTTTGACTGTTTTTGTACATAAAATCACCTAAATATCATCAGTGGTATTATTATGCAGTATATATGAAGGGTTTTGTTGCAAATCACGTTATAGACCAATTTTTTTCACGATATACATTTTTGGGAGAGGCCTTTACACATACAAGAAATATCAGTGATATGATTAATGCCACCTTTATTATAGAAATAAAAATGTGGTTTACATACATACATACACACACACACACACACACACACATATATATATATATATATATATATATATATATATATATATATATACATATATATACATATATATGTGTGTGTGTGTGTGTGTGTGTGTGTGTGTGTAATATACAGTCTCCTAAACCTTTTACACTTTAAAAGCTATTTTGAAAGTTCTCCCTATTTTTCTTGTTGAACCATATTCAGGACATAACTGTCCAGTAAATGTATAAAAACAAACACATACATCCACACACAAACTCACACACACACTCACTAATCCTCACTGAGGCTGGGATCTGGGGAGAGCAGAACGTGACACTGGGTGTGGGGGAGGTTGGCCAGGTTAGCGTTATCAGAGCTCCCCCCCAATCTATTGCGCCCATCATTCAAGCACCATGCTAAATCACAAGACGGCTGTGCCTTGAACCCACTGACCTCACCTGAGGCCATCGGCTTCATTCTCAGTGCTGCCCTCCTCTCAGCTGAACAGCTTATCAGACTGTGCTGCATATGCTGTTGCATGCAAGCCAGTGCCAGTGCATTTTCACCCCAGATTCCCAATGATTGCGTGCGATGATCATGCAAAGTGATAAGAGAGGAGAGTGATGAGTTGCACAAGTTCACTTCCCGCAATTGCCTTTCTAAGCATGACATCACACATTCTCAGATACCTGGCCAGGCTGAGCGAGGGAGCAAATAATGCAGTGCTGCCATGACGGTATTTACCACAAAAGGGGGGTTCAGACATAAATCTGCAAGAAGCGATAAACTGCTGAGGCTGATAGCAAAACTGCAAAGGCTGAAAATGCTTCTCTTAAACTTCAGTTCTTTAGTTACAGTGACAGTGTGTCAAAAAAATTTAATTTACACAATTTTTCCATTACGCTGTATGGAAATATGGGAAATATTTCAGCCATATATCAACATATACAAACTTATATATGTAACACATATGTTTACCAATATATGATAGAAAACATTATTTATATATCGCTGCTGTCGGAACAAAACCTTGTATCTCTAAAATGATAACTTTACAGGAGCACCAAAAAACCTACTTTACTTTTAATGTAAGTCAGTGGAACCAGATTCTTTTCCAAGTCATTCTGGGCCATTTCTTTTGGTCCATTCATCATGAAATTTACACACAGTGTAAAGGGCAATAGGCATTTTCAAATTATGTCAAAAACTGAAAAGCGTCAAAAATGGAGATATGAGGTTTTGTTCCGACAGCAGCGATATAATAGCTTCATGTTATATAATTTAAGGTTTTTATGTGTCTTCTTTGTATCCTCCACACGCTTCTTAATGAAGTGAAAATTAGTATAATAGCAGCAAAACCCAAGTATTATTGAAACTGCATACTTGTACTTTTACTCAATTATGTTTCCAAGAGCAAAAAACAAACTTTTTGCTTCTTTTCATTTAGACTTTCAAGCTGCTTGTTACAAATTTCAAAGGCTGAGAGAGTTTTCTCTCTTTCTCTCTTTTGTTTTGCCGGCCAGTGTTGTTCGCATGAATTTGAATTTGTTTCTATAAAAATATGCAACAAAACTGATGTCAGTGTAAAAATTAAACTGCCCACAAATATGCTAATTTATTTCAAGCGAGGATTCGTACCACCAATTAGTCACCACACCACACCGCAAAACAAAGAAAGCTTTAAATTTATTTAATAAAACATTTACTTTTTACTTATATAATCCTGAGAATGCTTAAATATCAATACTTTTGACTTCACTTAAATATACTTCTGACTCTACACTTTCACTTTTAGTTAAGATTTTTGTTTTTTAAGTATATTAAGTATTTCCATTACTGGTATTATGTAGATTTGGATGTAGCCTGGTCTGACACTGTATGATATACTATTATCAATGAAATGCACAAAGATTGTGTAAATGTATTGTTCAGTTATAATGAGACCATTTATCTTAGTAAATAGAAAGATGCACTGTTTCCATCATCACCACATTTATCAGGATCCAGTTCTGTGTTTTAGATATCTTTGTATGTCATATGGATCAACCATTTCATATTCAGCTCAGATATGCACATGAATATGTGGGTGAGTTGGAGGCAGGTACGTCTCGCTGGCTGGCTGCGCTCCATTCATGGCCTCCAGTCGGGCTTATGTGCTCTGATTATCTACACACACATCTGGATGGGTTTAGTCAAGGAATCCTATAAAAGAACCCTAATGGGCTCCCCGAACATTTCTGGAGACTGATTAAGAGTGCTTTTAGATCTGGCTCACATCAATGAGTTCCATCTGTGATTTATTTGTGTTTTGTCTAAATAAGCTATTTTCTTAATTTTGACCTCGCCTTGTGTTGCTGGGGCGCGGGGCAGCGAGGCCTTTGTGTGTTCATCTTGTGGACCCACACTGAGCCTTAACTGGCAAATTCAGGTTCAAAGTTGTATCCAAGATGGTCTCAAGCAAAAGACCCTCTTTCTTTTATGTCTTTCATGTAACTAGGCCTCTAACACACAGCATCTATATGCATGAATGTGTCTCACAAAGATAATCTTTAAAAATAATTCATTTGTAAATATTCCTTTCTGAGTTTTCCGCACTTTTCCAAGTTTAGAACCAGTATATGTATATATGGAGTGTGTGTATATGTGTATGTGTACATATCGCTGTTGTCGGAAAAAAACCTCGTATCTCCATTTTTGACATTTTTCAGTTTTTGACATGATTTGAAAATAACTGTTACCCTTTACATTGTATGTAAATTTCATGATGAATGGACTAAAAGAAATGACTTAAAATTACTTTGAAAAAAGTCTGGTTCCATTGACTTGCATTAAAGTAAAGTAGGTTTTTTCCTTCTCCTATAAAGTTACCATTTTGGAGATATGAGGTTTTCTTCCAACAACAGCGATATATATTTATATATATATATATATATATATTTATGTATGTATGTATGTGTGTGTGTGTGTGTGTGTGTGTGTGTGTGTGTGTGTGTGTGTACACATATATATTATCAACAACAGCAGGATGTGTGAACTAGCATGCAGTGCTCTGTAATGGTGCCATCTAATGGAGCACAAATGCTTTCATTCATGTAGAGCTAAACAAACAAGCTAACAAATTACAAAGAATGGCTAAAATTTATACATACAGCTACACATAAGTATAAAGGGATATATCTAAAACATGACTTCTCTATCTTGATCTTGAGGATCTTGTTTATGTTTCATAGCAGAGAACTTCAAACATGGACTACATTAGTAACAGATTAGCCTCCTTGGTTTTATAGAGTTGACACCTGCCACTTCAAACATCTCCATGTGCAGGTGAAGAAACCACAGACAGGTGGAGAAGGGGTGACTGTTGTGCTCATTCCCTTCTCTTTGGCCAGCTGTATCTCCGATTCAACCACAAGGGGTCAGAGAATGCCATGATGTGTATGGAAGTAACCCCTGTAGACCTTACATATTCACAGTGCCAGTGCAGATGCAAGCTCTGGCTTTCCCTTAAGTGTTGTTACAGCAGGACACAATAGCCAGTTTCACTAGTTAAAATAATGTCTGGAAATATTTTTAATTATCTTATCATCGTACAACTGAACATTAATCTCACACTGAGAAATATTAGATTTATTATTATTAGATTTTATTACTAAGTTTATTTGCCAAGATATGATTTTTTGGATTGCAGTCTTCAGACAGAGCCACGACGCATGACCATTAGCACTAATATTCATAAGCATTCAAGTTTACATTCTTCAGTTGTAACTCAGAAATTGTAAACAATATTGTTCCCCATATGTTAAATACTGCTTGGAATATTTAAATTATGTATTTAATTTCATTTAATTTAAGATGCACTCGATTTGCTTGTACACTCTTTAAGTATTTTTATTAACTATTTAGGAGATATTTAGGAGATATAGGAAAATATGTTAAACTTTAATGTAATTCAAACTGATGACCTCCCAGATGTTTTTAAACATTTGCACTTTGTATAAAAAGTTTTTGTTTGTGTAAATAAACAAAACATGGTTGAATCTCAACCAGTGAATGCAAACCACTTCACTCAGCCCGCCGACCAATCAGCACTCAGTAGCAGTAATACCACCCAATCAGCACTCAGCAGCAGTAACGCTAGCGTCCTCCTGCCCCCAAACCGTTTGCTATAGAAAAAAAGAAATACAGACATGTTTTCTTTACTTTTTAGTGGAATACATCCTTCTTCTTTCCAAAATCAAAAGAAAGTCCTGGACAAGTCGTTAGAATCTGTTTTAACTTTTTGTTTTTAGCCATTTAGCTCCACTCACCCCCATTCATTAAGGACTTGCTCGCGGGCCCCCTCTGGCGTTAGCAGTCCTGTTTTTGAAATAACGGGAGAACTAGGAAGTGGTCAGGCTCCCTTAAACCGGCTCTGGTAACGTCCCACGAGGTATTACACCATAATATGTTCACATTTATCCCTGATATATCTGCTCAGCTTTTTCGATGGTTTTAGGTTCGGTCAAAGATCATATATCCTCTGTGCTTTGGTCTTTTCCAGAGGCACCTATTGTGAAGCCTACGATTTTTCAAAGTAAAAGTCTTTTATCACTTTTTGAAAGGGCGAAACCGTAATATTTCATTTAGCGGTCCTCTATTAAATCACTGTCAGTTTTAATAATACAGCTCAATGTTAAAAGACAAACATTCAATCATTGCCTTTAATTTCAAAGTTCTTCAACTGCGGTTCTCTCTCTTTAGCCGAGTCTCCTTTAGACGCATGCGTCCGGTAAGGCACGTGACTCTTCCCGCAGAAGTGCATGGAGTGTTTTGAGAAACACTGAGGCATCTTCTCACAACTATGCGCGTTCTTCACTCTGAAATAACATAGAGTAAGTGTGTCATCATGTTTGTTTAAATTGGCATTCGATAATATGTGGTTTGCCTATTTTGCTGGATAGTGTGACAGTTCTTTTAACTGAATTGCGAGCTTGCTGGACAGCGTTAGCGTCAGAGACAGCTGCCTACCGATTGATTGTAGCTAGCTAGCCACCTGCCTGAGTTGCATCAGTACAGACTGTTCTCATGATGTTTGCCCACCTTCAGATTATTCGAGAAGACCAGACTCGTTTCCCCCAGATTATATGCAACTGATAAATGATGTTGAAGGCAAGATATTGCAAATGTACTCACATTTTAAAGGTGTTTTGGTGGTTTTGTCATTATTAGCCCGCCTAAGCACAACAGAGGAGGTTCTGTGTGTCTTATTTTCTGTGTCTCATAATACTGCCTAAACTGCAAGAGATGCAGTCGGTTTATAGTAGAGAGACAAAAAGAAGACGGTCTCGGCTAAAGTGAAGAATTAAGGAAGTAGACATGAGAACAGCTTAATTTCAATGACATCTCCGCTAATATTGGGACTCATTCATCAGTCTAAGAAAAAGTCTGTCATATTAATATATATTCATATTCATATTCTTAAACCACCGAATTAGTCACACCTTTTGAGTGTGCGTAGATTTACCTAAGAACAAGTCCCAAATAAGAAAACATTGGTGAATGACAGAATCCCCGTGAAAACTGGGTTTTAAGAGGAAATGTCTTCTTACGAACGGTTGGTGAATGAGACCTATTGTTAGTTGTTGCTAAGGCAGCAGTGAGGTTACGAAAACCTAACGAAAAAGATGAAATAGAAATCCACACATTCACAACGAAAACCAGAATGAATGCTCCATTGTAAAGATTTTGAAAGGGATTTTCAAACCTGTTGAATTGAGCATTAAAGATTATGTATGTGTGATATCTTAGTTCCTCTTTAGTCCACATTGTCAATTACACTACATTATAGAAACACTCATCATCTAGTATTAGTATCAAGTGTCACTGAATCAAGGTTCTAATTTATTTCTCATTTCATTTTTCATTTAAATACAGAACTGCTGTCTCCCCTGCTCAGTAATGTGCTATTTAGCCACCCGAGTAAATAGTATTTATCCTTAGAATTTATGATTGTGGAAATATTCGCAAATATTAGGTCAGACTCATCTTCTGCCACTAAATCAGGAATATTCAAGTCAAATGTGCATCCCAAGAGTCAAATCCTCACTGTCATCATCATCTGTGCAGGAATGCTGTAAATCCACTTATCCGCCATGCTGAGTCGCTTGCAAGAGCTCAAAAAAGAAGAGGAGACTCTTCTGAAGATCAAAGTCATGCTGCAGGATCAGCTTAACAGATTAAAGGTAAGGCTGAACTATCTTTTCATCTGCATTTTTATTTTTTATATGAGAGAAGCAAATGGAGTTCACCTACAATTTGATAATTGACAGAAACACCACATTGCAAATGGCTTAAAATCACAGTTAGGAAGGCATCTAGGTAAGAGGGACATGTTAGATTGGTTACTAGATAGCAATGTATGTAAGCTACATAAGAGGCCTGTCAATCAGGGCTTTTTGTTTGCAAAGTTTTCAAAGCAACTAAAAGAGTTCCAAAGAGACCCAATCATCTGTCCAAATTGCTAGTGTGTCAGTCACAAAAACTCCCAAACTTTTTCATCTTGACACATTACATAATCTTGCAATCATGGCAGTATATGCCAAACAAATTGCATTGTCAAAGAGAATCAGTCACAAGTTGAAGCTAGTGGACGGACACATAACAGGATGGTTGCTATTTTGTTTAGCTTTACATTGGCTGTTCATGTTTGTCTCTACATTTATTGTGTTTATATGGCTTTATGAAGTTCTTGGAGAAGGTGTTATGTAAATAAAATGTATTATTTCTGTTTTTTGGAAAACACCACAAAATTTTGAACTCAAAAATTACAGATTTAAATCCACCAAAAGGTCTCCTCAAAATCAACTTTATTTCTTGAGCTTCACAAAGCTGGAAATTGAAGAATTTCCCTAAACACAGTTCAGGACATGTGTGACAGCATTTCCTATTCTACAGTAATAGGATGATCCTCCTCTTTCTTAGATATTTGATATTAACATGTTGTTATGTATTTGCATTATTTTGTCCACCCTATTTATGTCTAGAATGTTCACTGTGTTCAGATAGTTGTCCTTATAATTGCTTGTCACTAGTTTGAAGAGGGAGCACTGAAGTCAATGATCAATGCCCAATCTGAGGAGAGCTCAACAGAACCTGCTACCCCCGAGGTAACCAAGCATTAAGTCCCAAATATGATGCCATTACTTATGCACTAAGCAACATAGCATTCTTGAATTACACTTCATTTCTTATTCATTTAAACTGTACGAATCAGTGGATTATTTTTAAACCATGTTTATGCAGGTTGAGGTCAACCCAGATGACAAGACTGAGATCAACCAGACTAAGCTAGTGCTAGGTGCTCCCATTGACTATGAAATGGAGGAAGAGGAGGAAGACGATGATGACGTCGAAGATGATGACCTTGACATGGTGCTAGAGGAGGAGGAGGAGGATGACGACGACTACTGAGTTTCCGTTCAAATAGCACAAGAGAACTATCAGTAACACTTGCAATTAAGTGTTTGACGTCCAAAATGGCATGCCAAAAGATACGTGTTAATAGCTTGTTAGGTTTGATCTGTTTCTCTGTTTGTCTGAGGATCATGCTGCATTGTATAGATTATAGGTAAGAGACACCTTGGGAACCAACCATAAAATGATGTGTAGCAAGCATAGAAGCTCAAAAACATCTTTTGGTACTGTATATGAGGGTCAGCCTGCACTTTTAAGTTATTTTTGTAGATTTAAGACTCCAGTATTGCATTTCCTTAGACCTATTAAGAAGTTGTATGTAGCCTTTGTTTCGAATGGTAGTGCATTGAGGTTGAATGTACTGTTATGAATCTGTTGTTCAGTTCATAGTGTTTGTATTTATGTTGTGAATTTTTCTGGGGTACTTTTAAAAGTAACCTGAGTGGCAGAAGGAACGTGTGTGTGTGTAGGTGTGCGTGTGCGTGTATGTAATGCATGTGCATGAAACATTTCTTGATGAGCCGGTAATGTACAGTAATGTTTTTTAGTATTTCATGAGAAATATTGTAAAGGTGCAGTAGTTTATTTACTTAAGCACAATACAGAAGCTGGATTCCCTATCTGGTGTGTATTCATTGAGTTTCTTGCTGTTATTTTTGGGTTGATAAAGTGAATCTTAAATGAATGTCTTGATTTAACACTGCTTGAGTTAAAGGGACAATCTGGCCAAAAAGCACAATTAACCACCATTACATTTGTTGTAAACAAATTGTCTAATTGTCTCCTACAGTGCTGCTGTAGTAGTCTAATCGTGAGATTTTTCTGGTAATAAGACTAGGAAAACTCCCCTATAATGAAAAACTGCGGTCACTTTGGTGCAGATGCTTGAGTGCAGGCTATTTGAAATGGGTTTTTTCCCCCTTGCTAGCTGGCTAATGCAGACAGAAGCCAGCTAACGTTACTCCGGCGAAACCATCAGATCTATCAGATTCTATATGAGTGGTACATCAGTACATTTCTTTAGTTCCATGTTTGGGATTCCCAGTGGTTGTGTGATGTATGAGTACTTTTGTGAGAAAAACACTGATGTACAAAAACAAAAAATCAATATAGAATCATGAATTCTGTCAAACCAATGAGGCTGAGGGAGGCTATGCTGCACTTCAGAATACTGCAATAGCATAACACAAATATTAAATAGTAGTATTTGGCCGGAATACCCCTTTAGCAGACCAGCAGTTTTACTGCTAAATAGATTTGAGTGGAATTCTGAGCATTTTACTTATCATGTGACTTTAATAGCTATGAAGTAAGGCTGTATAAAATTTAAAATGACAAAATTCAGTGACACTTTATTTTGAGTGCTCTTTTTTTACATGGAACAAACTCTCAACAGACTGTTAGTAACGTGTCAAAAAACATATGAAGGTTAGGATTAGGTTTTGGGTTGAGGTTAAAGTTTAGGGTTAGGATTAGGATTAGGGCCAGGGTTAGATGTTGGGTAAGGTTAGGTTTTGCGCAGTGGAAGAAACATTAACAATACATCTACTTCATGTGAGTAATGTATCAACAGTACATCTACAGGATATTTACTTAACTGTATTCAGGTGCTGCACTGCTGCTACTCCACTGATATGTTGTTGATGTGTTACTGATAATCTGTTCAGAGTTTATTAATCATCTACAAATGAACCACTCAAAATAGTGTTACCCAAAATTCTACTGCAACAGCTTATGTAATTGATAATAGCTAACTATATTAAGAATTTTGGTACAGATTTTTGACAGTCACATAGCAGATCTAAGGTTGCTCAACATAGTTGACTAGTTGTTTTAAATAAGGATGTTTGATTTTCTGAGTTAATTTAAGGGTAAATAAAAGTTACGCTTGTACTAGAATCTGGCAGAGACCATCAGCATTAATATGTAAAGTCAGGTCACCAAAACTTGATATACACATCCCTTCCCAAACACACTCTAACTGCAATCCAGTGCAAACACTTTACCCTGCTTCAACAATTCAGCATTTTTCTAAACAGCACATAACAATATAGTGAAGCTCACAAAAAGGATGGACTGCTCCGGAGAAAGGTGGCACCATGATGTGTGAACAATGGCTGCTCTGTCAATAGATATATACTGCTTTCTGGACATGATGGAGGCCTATGGACAGACCCCAACATTCCCTCTGTGTGCCAGTGGTTGGATGTTAATAGCCTTCCCCATCAAAACATAATGAGTTTTTAAGCAGAAAAGGACAGCATCTGTATTGTGAGAGTAAAAGTTATGGGTTAAATGTTGCTGATGTTGACAAGCGTTGCAGATTTTCTTTACATTTGGAATTAATGGGTCTTGGTAAACTGCTCTTTTCGTTGAATATTCTGTTTTGAAGGCTCACTAAGTGAGACTCAGGTAAGTAAAGTTATAATATTCTTTGAGAATGTCTCTCTCCCAATAGAGAGTGAACTGTGTGAGATGACTGTTCTCCTAATTATCATGCAAATAATAAAACATGTTCAGCTCCATACACAAGACATTATGTCAAATAGGCCATGAATGTGCCATAAAGACTTTGTAAGATTGTAAGACTTTGATGTAAGATTTCTATAAAATGTGGTAATGTTTCTGTAACACGCTTTGACAGATTTGCTACTGTTGCCACAGTAAACACAGGCATATCAACCTCTCCAACATTAACTTTGCTTACAGAGTAAAACCCTAGTTTGTAAGAAATCTGCTCACCCTTGCAAAATGAGCTCACAGTCCATTGACTGTCAATAGGAAGGTATTTGGGTCTACACTGAGGTCATGAGACCTCCTCAGTTGAGGATTGTTGTTCAGAAGCTTCCAGACTGTGTTGCAGCAGGGCTGGAGGTTAATGCAAATTAGGTTATTGGATTGGATGCATTTCATGACTTTTATGTGATTTCTGGATTTTACCCTGGATTCATGCAAATCCTGTGAAAGGTATGATTAGCAGAGCAGCTGGGTGTAACTGGGTTTTGATGGCAAGAATAGGAAGAAGCTGCATTTGTAGAGATCTGTGTGTGCATTAAATTCCATTAAGATGATGCTGATGGTGCAACTGGAACAGTTCAGGTTGTCTAACTAATGAAAAACTGAGATCAGGAGAATCTGTGCTTGGATCATTGACTAAACTGCTTTATGACTGTAGGCTCTGATGAGTTTAATCCTGTTGGTTCTAGCAATTTAAACTGGCAAGGTATTTATTGCGTGGTTGGTTGTGTTTTCAGCATGGTGTAAAAGCACTTACTTCCCTCTGGCTAGGATTGTGGTGCTACTGAAAGGCAGTGGGACGGAGCCGAGTGCTGGAATACCATGCTGTCAGGCTGTGCTGGACGGGTGTGCCATGTGCTTGTGTTGGTGCTGTGTCTGTCTGCGGCTGAGGACTTCGACTGGACAAAGAACGACCGCGGCTCCTTCTATTATGGCACTTTTCCAACTGGTATGACCTAACCACATTGAACACTCACTCGCAAAACAGGTGAGAGGTGGCTGAAGTACTGGGATGGCAACGCAGTGGTGTGCTTGTGACTAAACTGGAGAAAGCCCTGCTAGAGAAACCAACATAGTCCAACATGGCTGGTCACCAGCCTTTAATGTTATGCAGTGTTCTGTAGTGCAGCATTGTTTCCTTCAGCCTCATCGGTTTGACAGAATTCACGATTTTGCATGGTTTTCGTGTTATTATCCATCAGTGATGTCAGACTACAATACCCAGCATGCATTACACAAATACATCACACTGTCACTGGAAATCCCTCACCTACCCTTACAAAAAAAGGATACTTGGTCCACCTTTTAGTTTATAAAAGTATACTTTTATCATTGATGAATATCTTGAAAATATATGGTAATTACTCTGGATATGTACTTAATATTCAAAAAACACAAGCTTTGACATTTAATTTTAGCCCCTCTAAAGAATTGGTAAATAGGTATAACTTTAATTGGCACTCTTCATACATTCAATATCTTGGGGTCCGTTTATCAAAAGATCTATCACTTTTGATGGCCATAAATTTTAATCAGCTTAATAAAAAAATATATAAGGACTTGGACAGATGGGCCTTGCTTCCCCTAGATATGGGCAGCAGAATAAGGTCTGTCAAGATGAATATCCTCCCCAAATTATTATATTTATTTACAGCTTTACCTATAGAGATTCCTCTCAAACAGTTTAGGGAATGGGGACACACATATTTCTAGGTTTATTTGGAATAAAAAGAGGCCTCGAGTAAAATATTCTACTTTGATGCTGCCAAAAGAGAAGGGAGGCATGGCGCTTCCATGCTTAAAGGAATATTATGTTGCTGCTCAACTAAGACCACTTGTACTTTGGTGCAATCCAACCTATGAAGCGAAATGGAAGGATATAGAATTTTCACTAATGGATATTCCAATACAGTCAGTTTTAGGCTGTCTTGATAGGACTAAGGAATTATTGCAAATAAAGAATCAATGGGTTGGTTTTTCCTTTAAAATCTGGCTTGAGGTGATTAAAAGATTCCAGCTTCATAGAGAAATTAAAGTACTGAGTTGGCCAGCTTATAACCAACATTTTACTCCAGCATTGTATGATCATAGGTACAGACAGTGGTCTATAGGTGGTATTACCTCCCTCTGTAGAATGCTGTCAAATGGGGAATTTGACAGTTTCCAGAAATTATGCGACTCATTTGACCTTGGAAAACAGGATTTTTTTAGATATTTACAGATCCGTCACTTCTATATGAAAGAGGTTAAAGGCCCCAACCCGGGTCCTTTCTCAGGACTGACTCAGTTTTTTATGGAGGCATATAGGGGTGAAGGAAATAAAGGGGTTATTGGCAAACTCTACAAAATCATTTGTTTAATGAATAAAAATTCAACTAATTATGTGAGACTTCGATGGGAACAAGATATACAGGAAAAGATAACAGAGGAAGTATGGTCACGAGTATGGGAAAACCATTGTACTTCCACTAATTCATTGATTTGGAGGGATTTTTGCTGGAAGAGTCTGATCAGATTTTTTATAACGCCCAAACTCAAGTTAAGGTTAACTGGGGCCCACTTCCCCTGCTGGAGGGAGTGTGGGGCAATGGACGTAGGCCATGCGCATGTAGTATGGTGTTGCCCAAAAATGCAATCCTTTTGGATTAATATGGGGAGAATTATTTCCGACATCTTGGGTTTTAATGTGGAGGTCTCATTTAACTCTATGTATCTTGGTGTAACCCCTGAAGGGTTAAGTAAGAGTGATTGCTACCTATTGAATATATTTCTGATCGCTTGTAAGAAAGCTATTACTAAGTGCTGGCTCAGAAGAAACCCCCCAACTGTGGACCTTTTTGTTGAAATTGTTACTTATATTCGCTCCATGGAAATGTTGACTTACTCCGTACGTCTTCAAAAGGAGAGAGGGAAAAAAAACTGGATGAAATGGGATTGCTATACCCGAGAAAGCGTGGTGAACTGAGACCTTTGACTCTGATCATTCTGCCTTTTGTATGTAAACAGAGATTGTTGTTGAGTTTTATGTTTGAAATGTTGTACCTGTAAACCTCCGACTTTAAATAAGATCTCATGTACCTTTGATTATTTTATTTTTTTTTTTTTTCTCCTGTCGCCTCTTTTGTTTTTCTTTATGGATATGAATGTGAATTTGCACAAAACAAAAATAAAAATTAAGTAACAAAAGTATACTTTTATGTATATTTTAGTAATACTCTTTTATTTTAGTTTAAAAGAAGTATACTAATAGCACACTTGAACAAACTTCTTTTTTGTAAGGGAAATCCTGGCTGCTAGCTGCTGATCTAGATGCTATAAATATAGCTTTGGTGCTAGCTAGCATTAGTGATATAGCACTAATCTCAGTTGGTCTTCAATTTTTTTTCTTTGTTAAAAGAATAATTCAGCCTGCTAACAAAAACAATTTTAAAGAGCCTGTCCCCAGTTATCCACCCCAAAGAACTTATAGTCTTCCAAAATGTACTTCCACCTTCAAGATATATCATCAAAGGGGCTTTTTTAGTCTTTTAACCAGAACATCTCGCTTTAGAGACTACTGCAGCAACACTGTTTACAACAAATGTAACAATGGTTACATTTATCATTTTGGCTCAAGTATCCTTTTAACTTCATTTACATGCAGCACAAGTAGAATCGACTCCTTGAGCAAACTCTTTAAAGCAGTTAATAAATGCTATGTCTATGGTTACGATATCTACAAGAAGGCTAGTGAGTGTGAACTCACTCTAAGCTCTCTCTGACGGCAGGATTTTCGTGGGGTGCCGGCAGTTCAGCCTATCAAACCGAAGGCGCCTGGGACAAAGATGGGAAAGGACTGAGTATCTGGGATGTGTTCTCTCATAAAAAGGGAAAAGTCTCTCTGAATGATACAGGAGACTTTGCATGCGAGGGCTACTACAAACTGAAGGTGATTACAGCGAAATGGTCAATTGCATAAGTCAGCATTTGAAGCTTCTAAACACCTACAGCTAAAAAACTCTGTTCTGTACGTAGGATGACATATCCCTGATGAAGGAGCTCAACTTGAACCATTATCGCTTCTCAATCTCTTGGCCTAGGGTCATTCCCACTGGAATCAGATGTAAGAGACCATGATGCTTCCTTAGGCCAGACTCTCTCAATATAAAGATAAATAATATAATATGATTATGTTGAATATCACATTGTTCTGACTACCTTGGTTACATGTTTGCAGCTGACCATGTGAATGAGAAAGGAGTCAAGTACTATGATACCCTCATTGATCAGCTGCTGGAGAACAAAATTACTCCCATTGTGACCTTGTATCACTGGGACCTACCACAGGTGTGCATTCACAGTAATGAATTTGATATCAGTCTTATTGCCTTTGCTGTATTTACCTTTTTTTGCTTGTTATAAAAATAAACCTTTGTCAATGACTGTTTCTGTGATTTGGCAGGTTCTGCAGGAGAAGTACGGAGGGTGGCAGAACATCAGCATGGTTAATTACTTTAATGACTTTGCCAGCCTCTGCTTCGAGAGATTTGGAAACCGTGTGAAACATTGGATAACTTTCAATAACCCATGGGTATGGACTTGTTAATTCTGTACATCAAAGTTTCATGTTTTTGAAATTTGCCATTATATGAAATGTAATCTTTTCTTGTATGTCAGTCAGTGGCAGTAGAAGGCTATGAAACAGGAGAACATGCACCAGGCCTGAAGCTCAGAGGCACTGGGGCCTACAGGGCTGCTCACCACATCATCAAGGTAAGAGAACACAGACTTTGACTGGATATCCTACTTAATAAAATGATTCTTCTTTCTGACACACCAAACATTCCTTATATGAGTCGTCATGTTTGTCTCACTTATTGACCTTTCTGTATCCCTATCCTCAGTCACATGCCAAGGTATGGCATACATATGATAATCAGTGGCGAAACAAACAAAATGGTAATTAAGTTTCAGCTATATGTCACTTATTTATAGAACCTCTCTTCTGTGAGCCATTTTAAACGGTCTGGCCTGGTCCTCTGCCCCCTCATGCAGGTATGGTAGGGATCTCCCTGTCTGGGGACTGGGGAGAGCCAGTGGACATCACCAACCTGAAGGATATAGAAGCAGCTGAGAGATATGTCCAGTTCTACTTGGGCTGGTTTGCTACTCCCATCTTTCACGGAGACTATCCTCAAGTCATGAAGGACTTCGTTGGTATGTTTTACCATCTATCCAGTCCTGTAACAAATCCAGCCTGAACTCATTTTGTGTGATGTTCTTTGATGTGTATTTCTTTCTGTGGGCTAGTAGAGTGTTTGAGTATTTTGAGCATGATAGCCTACTTTTAGATGCTCATCTTAAGTGTTTTAATTAATAGTTCATTTTAAAGCTTAGGAGTTTTTAAAGAATGCATATTGGATTGCTATCAGATCACACTCAAGGCTTCAATATCAGTACTGGAAAAGAAAAAGTGGTATCGTGCCATCTCTAGAAATAAATGATAAACGATTCCTTCATATCCACTGTTTGTCCAGGGAGGAAAAGTGCTCAGCAAGGTTTGGGAACATCTCGACTCCCCACATTCTCTTCTCAGGAGAAGAGTTACATTAAAGGCACTTGTGACTTTCTGGGAGTGGGACACTTCACCACACGTTACATCACCCAGAAGACCTACCCTCCGGGCCGTGGCAGCACCTACTTCGCTGACCGTGACCTGGCCGAGCTGGTGGACCCACGCTGGCCTGATCCTGGTTCAGAGTGGCTCTACGCTGTGCCATGGGGCTTCCGCCGCCTGCTCAACTTTGTCAAGGTTTGTCAAACAGACTGTCCTTTTTACCAGTGGATTTTTCTTGGTTGTTCATCTACAATAAATCCATTGTCCTGTTCCTAACATTACTTCTGACTTCATAATTTCTGTAGACTCAGTATGGAAACCCAATGATCTACATTACTGAAAATGGAGTTTCTGAGAAGATGAAGTGCACAGAGCTGTGTGATGACTGGAGGATACAGTATTACAAGGACTACATCAACGAGATGCTGAAAGGCACGTGATTGACCACATTACATAACCAATACAAATCCCTTTGGGATATCAAGTACACTGAAATTTGATGTACTTGCTCTTGCCTTATTAACTTCTCTTCCCTTTTGGTCCCTGCAGCCATTCGAGATGGAGTGAATGTGAAGGGCTACACTGCCTGGTCTCTGCTGGATAAGTTTGAATGGGACGAGGGCTTCTCAGAGAGGTTTGGCCTGTACTATGTGGACTTTAAGAATAAGAATAAACCACGCTACCCCAAGGCCTCTGTTCAGTTCTACAAACGCATCATCAACTTCAATGGATTCCCTAATCAGAGAGAGGTAATAATGCTGCTCCCTCTGTGCTGATGTCAAGAGTATAAGATAGGAGTAAAGATCAACAACATCAACAAATGTAAAATTTACAAACTTTATCCCCAAAGCTTGATGAGCTAAGACTTGTCTTCTAAAGTTTTTTTTTTTTTAGTTTGGACCCTTGGACCCAGTGTAGCTTTCTTATATATAAAAAGCATGTCATACAATGTCAGAAACCACATAAGCAAGTCTATTTGAGTTTACCTAAAAGCTCTGCATGGTTTGAGACATGTCTGGTACCTGAAATCATGCAGTGTTGAATTAGGCATGCAGTTTGCATGATGCTAATTGTAGAGTATATGGTTCTGTTACGTGTTAGCTACACTAGCCTTTTAGTCTCAGTGCTAAAGTGAAGAAGTAAACTTTACCGTTAAGGAAAGGAGAAAACTGTGAATTTTTTTATTTTTCATCAAACTACTCCTTTAAAGGAAGCTCCCAGAGAGTTTTCTGTGAAACAAAACTTTAAACCACGGTAGAATTTGCATAAACACAGACTTTCAGAAGGAGTCAGAGAAGCAGAGGCAAGTTTATTTTCTCAAGACCGTTTATTACAAATATACCAAATCATTCATACTTGCACAGACAGCAGTAAGCAATTATATAACAGCACAAACATGGAACACTTTTATTTCCATGGAGCACACATTTGTGAGTCTCTAATGCAGACTTTCACGGACAGAACAAGCATTACTATAGAATTAGCACTAGCATGAGCTGACTAGTACGTCGTGTCTATGTACACAGCAGTACAGATAATGGATGTGTTCTGTATGGTTACTGGCAGGTCGAGAACTGGAAGAGGAAAGCTACAGAGACGTGTTCCTCAAGCAACCAGCTCTTGGCTGCAGGTCAGTACCCTTAGAGGTCCACTGCCTCATGAGACGAGTAGAGGAAAGGAACTAGCTGGGGCAAACAAAAAAAAAGATTCCACCTATAAGGAGCAGAATAAAAACAATGCATGAGAAATGAGAACATATGAAAAAAAGACCACAATTGCCTAATTCTACTTTTAAAATACACAAAAACTGCACTTCCTCACCCCTCCACTTTTGGATCTCTGCCACCCCATTATGCTAACCTCAAATAAGACAATCTATAATCACTTTCTGTACAGTCATTTACGTAGGGGATTGGCATGGAAGCCAAGAGAACAGTCAGAGGCTTTGGTGGAGGTCTAAAAGAGAGAACCTTATAATATCAGCCTTACCCTGCTAACAGGGTTTTTCTTTGTTTGCCCCTCCAGCTAGAAGAAAGTCCAAGGAAAATAAGGATCATGCAGAGATGCCAAAGGTTTGGCCAGTGCATGATGAAGTTTAGGAACTAAGGGTACATGTCAGAATAAATGTGTTCTTTTTGGCTTGGCAAGCTTTTCGCATTGTCCTGGAAAGCCTCAAAAGGGCTCTGTGTGGTCCAGTCATATGAATGAGGGGTTTCAGCCAGCCCAGATGTGGCCTATCCTGGACCCAGGAGGCCAGAATGCCTAGCAGTTCATGTCCAGGCCAGCTTCAGAAACCACATAATATGTAGTTACTTGAGCAGATTTCTAAGTTAGACAACACTGTTAAACCTCAACAGTCTCATTAATTCTTACTGTATAAAGCTGGTACTTGCCATAGACATGTCAATGAGTAAATCAGGCCAAAACTGTCTCAGTAAAGCTTATCAGAACTGACATGAGAAATGCTGTTGCTGGCACTGGGTGACTGCGTGGCATCTATGAGCATTAGAAAAGCTGCTTTGCTCCTGCTTTCATTGTGAGCAAAATTACATTTGTTTAACTCTTTGAGGGCTTTTTGACTGTTATGTGACAGCCAAAAGCTGCTCCTGCCAACATGGCTTTACCAAACTTCAAGCATCCAATCAGTCGTTCAGGTATAGTAATTTTTTCTTCTGGAGGAAACCACTTAATAAGCCTATTTTTATTTATATTTTTCATTTGCTTTAAATTATAATAATATTAGCATTGCTTAGCAAGTATTTTTTAAGCTGTGCATGTGGGTGTTTCATAACAGTGCAAAGTAACACTTGTTGAACTTCTAATGCAAACCAATGACATCACTTTTGTGCTGCACCCATAAAGTAATCTGATCCATTCTGTCATCACAGCGATGTGTTTATCATTTCAGAAATTCATATTGTGATTAACGATAAAAATATGATTTAGAGTACAGTCCTGCTCTTTAGTAGACATTGAAACGGACAGGCTTGTCCAGGATGCATGAGCCAGTTTGTGGCATTTCGATTTACAACCAATCAAATGCAGAGAACCACTGAGGGTTAACAGTGTTAGAAGAATATGTTCATCTTCATAAATTATTAAAGAGCCCATATCGTGAAAAAAATATTTTTACTAAAATAAGTTAGTATTTGTTTAATAAAAATTTAACAAACATAGAAATAAAATATATAAATTAAATATATTAAAAACATTGTTTAACTGTTCCCTCCCCAGTCCATACAGTCCAGATAGATAAACTATGCAAAAACATTCATATTTTGTGATATCACAAAAACAAATACATTTACATATATCTGCTGATTCAGACTTCAACTGTTTAGCTACAGAAACAGGCACAGAAACAAAAACAGCCTGTTTAATTCTAAGGGATAAACACAGGTTGGAAATTGATTATGTAAAAATTAATTATGATTGTTTTTAGAACATAAACACACACAACAGTATAACTGGACCCATGATATATAAAAAAATGTAGGATGTTGGCCCTTTAAGTAATACTACTAGCTAACCTAATTATATTACCACCATGGCAAGTGTGAACTATAGGGTAAGGCTCTGTAACACTCACATGTGGTACTTCGTAACTGAATTTGGATCATCATTTTTCTGAATTTACCTTATTGTTCCAGCTTAATATGTACAAGAAAAATATCAAACATCATCATGGCTCACAAATCCCATATTGGTGTATCCCTCTTTGTAAAAGAGATGATACAAAATTCCAGTCTATTCACCAGATTATTCCAGGCTATTCACCACATATGTGCCACAGAGACATGAAACATGGTAATAGGTACACAGAAAATATTTAGAAGCAGCAGGGAAGAATGAACTGAAAGATGTTTGATGTGAGAATAGCGTTGCCTGTGCTGTTGTTATAACCCTGTTGGATAGAAGTCAGCTTTCTGCCATGGGCACAACAGCCCTCAAAGGGTTAAACTGCCCTGATCTCATCCTAGGCCATCTCACCCAAGGCCATCTCTCTCTTTTCATTAGAGGAACAGCGGAGTATGGCTGCCAATATGCTAAGACTTATTCATGGTAAGCTGTCACACATATACACACACAGAAAACTGCTAGTAGAAAGAAAAGTGTTAACCCTTTGAGTGCTCTGAGCAAACTGATTTCTTTGTGTGATGCTAAGCAAATATGTTTCTGCTCATCCTTAACTGTGTGTGTGTGTACAAAACTACAAACAATTAGTTTGAGTGGTCCATTTTGAATGAGTAATACAATACTAAATCATTTGAGTGATGCTACATTAACAAGGCTAACAGTTCTTTATTTTGTGTTTTTCTCCCCCAGATCCATTGACCAGTCACATGGAGATGGTAACAGAGATTGTGGTCCCCACTGTGTGCACCCTCTGCATTTTGATCAGTGCAGTTTTTCTCATGTTCCTCCTTAGCAGACGCAATTAGCAGAGCACTGTTTAGGCCTGACCTCATTCAGATTACCATGTAATCAGACGCAGGATCTGACCTTTGCAGTGCTCTGTTAGTTAGAACACACACAGTTTTGAACTAGTTTATAGTGGGCCAATCCCTGTTGACATTCACCACAAAATCAGTTTCGAGTTGAAGCAAATAAAATTGGTTGCTTTACACATGACATGTGAAAATGACACTTTGATTTTCCCTTCAACAGCTGTCTTTCTGATTACCAAACCGTGGAGAGTTCAACATTATAAACAAAGAAAAAAACATTGTAGATCGAATATTGTATTTAAATGCTAACAGATCTTGCAGAGGCTATTTTAATTCTGCAAATAAACATTTCAATAAATGCACAGATTTTGCCTGTTGATTGACACTGACCTCCTAAATGAAGTTGGCCAGACTGCAACACACCAGGGTTCTGAAGTAGGCAGTCTTCTCACTCTCTGCACTCACTGAAATCTCCAATGGCAAACCTAAACAACAAGAGCCTAAATGAGATACCCATTTCTTCTAGCCACCAAAAAGCTACTGTAACGTGGACCCCAACCCTGGTTTATTTGTAAATAATGTAAATATGTATGATTAACAAAAAATAGAAGACAACTGGATTTTCTTCTACATAAGCGAGCAACCCAGTCAAAATTTTGGTGTTTAAACTCTTTTCTTTTTTTTTATTGTATCAGTTATACATGTTTTTTATATCATGAAAGTAGCAGTCATTTTGACTTGGCAGGGCTGTCTCTGTGGAGAGGTGCGAATTGTTTTCATTGCTTTCACCCTGATTGCTCGGTAGTCACAACATTTCACTCATACAGAGAGCCAACAATGCCCTAGTTATTCTCAGAACAGAGCTCAGAGGAAAAATAATTTATTGATGATATTAATGAAAAATATCAGTCACATTTCATTCTGCTGGCTTAATTGCCGCCACTGGTTAGCCTGCAAAAAGAGGATACTAAACGCTTCCTGCTGAATTGGGTGTTGAGAGTAAGAAAACACTAACATGTACTTAAAAGGGGTGCTCCAGGGCCAGGGTGCAGAACCTGTGTGTGAAAAATTATTAAAATAATGAAAAAATATGTGGCATGTGGAAAAACAAAGTAGGGTTTCACCTGAGTCAAAAGTGACATGATCCACAAGTGGTTTATCACTCAGATGCCAAGAGGTTTTGACCTCTCGTGACCCCTGCCCACTGGACACCTCCACCGCCCAGGAAGTTGGCTGCTCCCTGAGAAAGCAACAAACGTGCAATCATCATATGCCAAACCAATATCCATTACACCATATGAGATATAATTTTACTGGACAGAGCTTAGATTACAAAGGTCCAGTAGTTTATGCTTTTTCTTACGTCTGGTAGAAGTGGCTGATAAGAGCAGGTTTGATTTGCATCTCAAACACATGCTCTTCATTATAAGGTGCTGTTTTGTAGTATTGCAAACACGACCTAAAATTAAAAGAAAATATTATAAATAAACATGAACATAACAGATATTGGTAAAAGAACAAACGAGCGTGTGACTCACTGAGTGAAGAAGAAGAGGCGCTCATGAGGCAGGCTGAGGAAGCTACCGCAGGTGCCCAGAATCTCCAGCAGGTGGTGCAATTTCTTCAGTCTTACCACCTGCTCCTGTAGATCAACCTCGCTGCTCAGGTAGTAGCTCTGAACATCAGCCATCACACAAATGCACAAAGCACTGACTGTTAAAGCTCAGTTGTTCACTTCAGGATCCCACCAATATTTTGGAAAAAATACAGGTAAAGTAATTACCAGATGGCTGAGAGTCGTCAGCTCTTTCCCTGAGAGGCAAAATACATAAATGAGACTTTTTATGCAATCTCTTTTGAAAGCTTAAAGCATAAAGCATAAAATGCATAAAGTGTGCTAGTTATAAAAACAGCCCACAATGACCATTCCCTACTAAAACAAAAATGTGCCTCTGCTGATATACTAATTATTGTTATTACCAACGAGGTAGTTGATATAGTCTTTCCTCATCTTATCCAGGCCCAGTTCCAGGAGCATAATGGCAGGGGTCAGACCAGTGAGAGGCACTGCGTCCACTTGCTGCTGATAAGACTGCACAATCAGTTTACTCAAAGAGCTGCTGCTGTCCCTGTGCACCTGTATAGGATAAGATCACAAACACTTTACGTCAAAAAGAACCAAAATATCTGTGATAAGTCTTCATTTTAAAGGGAAGTAAAAAGAGAAACTTCTGTGTCCAGTTTCCCAGACAAGTATTAAGCCTAGTAATGGACTACATTTCCTTTCAATGGAAAAAAAATCTCCATTTAAAATGCTGTTTAGTCCAGAAAGAGGCTCTCCCCTGTTTGGGAAACTGACCTTGCCAACAAACTAAATTTCAGAGACATTCAAATACACACCCAAGGTTTAATCTGACCAAATCGCACAGCTTTGATGACTAATTTCAGAGAGTCTGTTATGTCTTGATATGAGGTCACACCTGCCAAAAGAAAGAGACAGATTATAAACAAAATCACAATTAGTACGATAATTTCTTAGAATCACACATCCCAAAATAAACACTCACTCTTCCTCATCTTCTCCCAGAGCTGCTCTGTGAAGTCCAAGTCTCCTCTCTCCATTGGCATAGAGCTGAAGCCTAGAATTGAGTCTGTCTTGGACTTCTGGTTGTTACAAGCAAATGAGATTAACCATAAACACCTACCACATAGTACATTAATGGAATAGATTAACTTCATACTTCATATTCCATTATACCTCTGATCCTTTCTGGCCTGGCACTGCATTTGCAACATTCTCCAGCCCTATGACAAAGAAGGAATGACACAGTGCATTAAACTGCAAGGGATAATGTCACGACTAACTCCATAATGATGTGAAATGTTACCCTCAATGAGTTCCCTTGTTAAGTCCACAGTAGACTGCGTCTCCAGCGGATCTAACCACTCAATCTCCCCAGTCCTCAATCCTTCAGCCAGCGCCTGTTAAAATAAAAGTACTCTTATAGATAAAACGGAAAAAGAGTGGTCTAAATCTGTATTACAGGTCATTTTCTGGACTGTGTGCCACAGCTCCTAAAACATGATCAATGAGCCATGTTTGTTAGAGGACCATCTGAATGGCCTTAACTACTGAGTGGCTTAGTAGTTAAAGGGAATACCACATATTATTCAACATTTCTGCATAACTGAATGGTTAAAATATAAACTAAGTCGTTCAGAGTAGTTTAACGTGAAATGCTCCATTATGGAGAAGGTTACCAAGTCAGAGTTGTTCACAGTGGTGGTGATAGGAACCAGGCACCCAAAGTGTTTAATGGCTCTAAAAGCTCCATCTTAGAAAGCTATTAGACAAAATAGTTACAAATACATTGCCTAATGTCTTTGTTTTTGGATAGTTTTGAGATAAGATTTTGGTCTAAATCACATTCTTTTAAAATCCTTTTTATGTCTGAGAGGCACATGCAGGCCATTGTAAGGCAAAAATAGTATCCAAAGAATTTTTTTCGTTCTTCAGATTTACCACTGCTTTACCATTATCAACATTAGAGAATGTACGATCTGGTGGTTTTGAATAACAAATAAAATGGGGCAATATTTGTATTATAGTCATCACAACCCCTGGTTCCTACCGCAACCGCTTTAAAGAAATTGAAAGCAATAAGTTTTTCTACTATTAACCATTTCACATTGAACCACTCTAAATGACTGAGTTTATTATGTCAGCAATTATGTCAGAATTATGAAGAAATTTTGAAAATTCAGTGGAATAACATATCTGTTATTAACATGGCTGACAATATGCCTGCCTTGTTCAAGGCTAAAGAAGATGCAACTGGCTACTAGACAGACGTATAGGATAAACTTAGTGTATGTTCTTATGGCTCTGCTGGCTCAGACATACCAAAAGAAATTCCAGCTCTCTGAACTTCTGAAACATTGGGCTCCTGATGTCTCCAACTGTCACTTTGATTTGCTGCACAAAATGAAGAAGATAAACAAAAAAATGGCAAAATGTTCAGTCTATTGAATCTTTGTCAGCAAACGTAATTGTTTGTGGTTGGTAACGATGACAACTGCAAAGAATGATTTTCAAGAGGCAAAATAAACCTGAAAACAGGAATGGCCAGAGACCCAACCGTTAAGATGCACATAAAACTGAGACACCAAATTGAATACTACAGAAAAAAAAAAGATTTATGTTTACCAGAGTGACCATAGATGACAGGGGAGGGGTCTCCAGAATCTTCTCTACATTAGTCCATCTGAAGGTGGCCATTACGCTGCTCTGAGAATCAATAACCAGGCTTTCCTCCTTCACTGAGCAGAAGAGGTTGTATTCAGCCCAGCCTTTTGTCACCACCTACAGAAGACAGTAACACAAATAAATTAAGATGTGGCACAGAAGTGTAAACTTAAATCAATATTACAGAAAAAAGAGAAAGAGCCTGAATGTGTTACTGCTGAGGAATGGTGTCTGTTCTGGTGCTCTTGTTTAAGTTGATCCATTGTGATGAAAGAGGTCTCATCTGCTGTTGCCCCTGGATGAAGTGTGGATTGAAAATAAAACATGAGCTTGGAAACCAATTTTTAGTCTATTTGAAAAGTGTTTGAGCCCACTTTTTGTAACCCAACTAAACAATACATTTCTCCTGCATTGCCAGAAATCTGAAACGCAGTGGTTTCAGACTAAGATCAAGTTGTGTGTTGAAGTCAGACATTACCTTTGCAGCTGACTGTGTACAGTTTGACTGCTGTAGCCTTGCCACCAACATAGACTGTCTCTGCCCCCAGCCAGGAAGTGCCAGCAGGGTCAGACATGTCACAGCGTACCCAGAGAGGGTGCAGAACATGGGCTTCCACCTGGGCCATGTTGGGGTTCTGAGACATAGCGTACCAGGAAAGCAGCTGTCTGTGCACCCAGAGGAAAATGTAAAGATTTTAATTCCAACAGAGACAGGTCACTAACTTAACAAAAAATATTTAAAAAATGACCCACTGCAATACAGATAAGCTCACTACACCTTGCTGTATTGATGGAGAGAGGTAGCGGCCCGATGTAATGGTGCTCCAGTTTAACTGACACTTCTTCATTGAGACTGGTTTCCTCTGCACTTTCTGTGCCCTCAGTTTCATGTTCTGGTGGCTTTTCAAAGGAAATTAGTCAGTAGTGAAGTGGTCATTTTCACAGTTTATGTTTTATTTTGTCCAGGTTTACTTACCATTTTCTCACAGATGAAGACAAGTTGGTTTCCTTCGATAATGCTTAGAAGGGCCTCATTATTGTGTTTTGACATTTTAATATTGTCCTGTAACAACAGAGAAGTTACATGTCAATATAGCAATATCAACGATCGTACGCAAACGAACTTTTGTTCTCCACCAGTCACTCAGCGGAGGAGGTTACACCTCCAGTTTTACCTGATATGTCCAAGAATCCTTATCATCATCCTGGCAAAACCTATGAAATAACATAATAATATATTACACTAACAGTGCAACAACATACACTCCAAATACTGGAATAAATGACCGCCTTGCAGTGATCTTTTCCGTGCAGTGACATCGCTGCTAACAGCAGCAGCCTTCCTCTCTCATCTCTCATAACACAAAACTACAGCGGCGCTGAGTAACGTTAGCTACGTTACAAATCAAACTCAACTGTAAAGCGAGAAAAACAAAGTATTTAATAAAACCACTTACTTGAGAAAATGGATAAAGCGTTTAGCCTTCGAAATAATATTATCTTTCATTGTCTTGCATGTGTTAAATTTCAATAACAGTGGGTGCGAATACGACTTCTTAAAAAGTTATTTCACTCCGACACCGGTTTAACAGAAAAATAATTCCTCCAGCCCGCCGCATTACGTCACCAAGGTCACAAGTCATTAGTTCACGCCCACATCAAGAAATAATCATTATGAGAAAATACAAACGTTATATTTTTTTATTTACACAATGTAAAAGTATTTACCCAGATACTACACTTTTAATTACAGTATGTATGATTTTTTTACTACGTTATTAAATAGACCGGGCATTCTGAAAGTAGTCCGGCCGCCACGTCTTTCATCCGCAAGTCCTCAAAAGATATATATAGTCCCAAAGTTTATTATCACATTCACAGGATTTTCTGTTACGGTGAAGATTTTATTAAATTATAAATTATATATTATCAATTCTAGACAATATTGCATAGATATTACTACAAAACTAAAAGGGAAAACAAAAATCAGTCTTAAAGCGGAAGTGAGGCGCTGTCGGATGTATATAGTGGTGACGGTGTACTGCTATCTTCCTTTTCTTCCGTGGCCGCCATTGAGAGAGGAGCGAGGTTCCTGGCGAGCCGTGAACTTTTTTCAGAATGGTAAAGATTAACGTTGTTACTATGTTTCTGAACATCAGTTTATGGTTGCGTTGTTGAGGGCTTACAGCGCAAGTGTAAGGTGGCCCATACTCTTGTGTAAATGTTGATTTTGATGGGTTTTTCTGAGAGGCCGGGTGGCGGAGCTTTCGGGAGCCATTTTGATCACTAGTACGGGTTTTCAGAGCTGCACGTGCGAGTGTGGCGGTTAGCTGTAGCTGCCTGGCTAATGTGAAAATTTCATATGATGTTAAATCTAGTGCAAGCAGCAGATCTGTATTAAGGCTGTTTTTTTGCATATGTTGACATTCAGTAACACTTGCTTCGTTGCTGTTTAGTGGTTTCACGTAACAGTTATATAGCTAGCTTAACCGCTACGGCCTATAGCTAATTAGCTAACTAACGCTAGCTAGGTTACTGCCATGGCCATACTATCAGTAGTTTTCAATTAATCGTCGATCTAAAAATGTTTAACACCAGTAAACCGAAGTGTGATGAGTGTGGTAATAGGACTGCTGCAGAATAACAGACTCTGACTTGTTTTAAACCGACCTCTCGCTGATTTAGCTAATAAATAGCGCCGTGTAACTTGAGCTCGACACGCAGATACTTGTTGGCTGAATGCTGGTGTAATTCAGATTGATAATATAGTTACCCGTGCGTACAGTATTGCAGTTGTTTTGCACACCAGAGGATAGGCTAACCTGAAACAGCACTTTGGTGGATTCTGATTTTGCCATGATGGTGTAATTTGCGTCCGACTCTGTAACCAGCGACAGTTGCCTGCTGTCTGATGCTGGCGCAGAGGGGTGACGACAACCGAGGCTGAGCAAAATTAAATCTTTTGAGCGATCGTTAAGTCACACGTGAAATGAGGGTCTAACGATGCGTTTGCTTTCCAGGCTTGTGCCCGACCGTTAATCTCGGTGTACTCCGAGAAAGGTGAGACCTCAGGCAAAAACGTGGTTTTGCCTGCTGTGTTCAAGGCTCCCATCCGCCCGGATGTTGTGAACTTTGTGCATACCAACATGCGCAAGAACAAGCGTCAGCCCTACGCCGTCAGTGAACTGGCCGGTGAGTTTTCATATTTGCAATCGGAGTGAGATGGAAACCTTCCTTTTCTATTTTGTGGTCTCTTGAATGAAACCCTTAACTCAAGTTACAATTTCTAGTCCTGATGCCTGTTAATTTTTTTTGATGATATCATGATAAAGTAATGCTAAGCTCAGGTCACCAGACAAGTGCTGAGTCCTGGGGCACAGGCAGAGCTGTGGCCCGTATCCCCAGAGTGCGTGGTGGCGGTACCCACCGCTCTGGTCAGGGTGCTTTTGGAAACGTATCCTTAGGTCACACGTGAACTTGCGTACTCCTTACTCTTGACTTGCGTTTAATAAAAACGCTTGCTGTGATGGTGTAATTTGCGTCTTACTCTGCACACAGCGACAGTTGCCTGCTGTCACATGCTGGTGCTGAAGGCTGACGAACATCAATTCTGAGCAGGTTTATGAATATCTTGAGGGTCCTGTTATTGTTTGGTGTTCCTTTAAGTGCAGTGTGTTGACCCTTGACTGAAGTGTAGATGTGTCGTGGTGGCCGCATGTTCGCCCCAACAAAGACCTGGCGCCGTTGGCACCGCAGGATCAACGTCACCCAGAAGCGTTATGCCATCTGCTCTTCCCTTGCTGCTTCAGCCCTTCCTGCCCTGGTCATGGCCAGAGGTGAGTGTGCAACTGTGGACAGGTTAGCCCCAAGTGGGGCACTTTGAGAGATGGTTTTTATACTGTTCAGAACTTAGCAAGGCCCACATTCTCAGCAGTGCATAATTGCACTGTTAACTGAGTGATATGCCACCTCTAGGCATGTCTCAATCAGTCCAGTGCTAGATAAACCTCAGTTAGCAGAAGGGAGTGCCGAAAATTGGTGTTTCCCTTTTGAAGGCTGAGAACAATCTTGTTAATATTTTAAGGGATCATGATCAGGTTCTGGTCATGGTTGTTAATACTCTGTGGATCTATATTGTAGGGCACCGCATTGAGGAGATTCCTGAGGTGCCACTTGTTGTTGATGACAAAGTTGAGGGATACAAGAAGACAAAAGAGGCAGTGCTTCTGCTGAAGAAGCTGAAGGCATGGAATGACATCAAGAAGGTGACAGGCTTATTTTTATTGGTGTTTACATATTTTCTTCTCACAGTCAGTCCTTAGTTGGATTTAGTGAGACTTTGGTGGTCTTATTTATTTATATTTTGACCCAACAGGTTTACGCCTCACAGCGCATGCGTGCCGGCAAGGGTAAAATGAGAAACCGCAGACGTATTCAGCGCAAGGGCCCATGCATCATCTACAATGACGACAACGGTGTTACAAAAGCTTTCAGAAATATCCCAGGTATGTTCTGGATCACTTGTTAGTTCATGCCCCATCCCCCACCAGCTGTGATGAGTTCTACTTCAGGTCCGTGTTTATGAATCCTGTGATTTTTGTAGAAGTGCTGAGTTAGCTGGGTTGGGGAAATGGTGTACTTTCCTATGTACTATAAGTAGCTTTTTAATTTATTGTAGTTTTTGCTTGTCATCAGGTGTTACACTGCAGCGAGTGAGCAAACTGGACCTCCTGAAACTTGCCCCTGGTGGTCACATTGGCCGTTTCTGCATCTGGACTGAGAGCGCTTTCCGCAAGCTGGATGACCTCTATGGCACCTGGCGCAAGCCTTCCACCCTCAAGGTGGATTACAAGTGAGTTACTTTCAGTTCACAAACTACCCTAAATCATTACCTTTCTAATCTACAGTGATGAGCTTCCACTTCGGTCCGTGTTTATGAGCACCATGATTTTTTTTGAAGTTCTGAGTCAGTTTGTGCTTCATTGTCCTTCAAAATGATCAGTAGCTTTTAGAAATACTGACTAGTTTTACTTGATCTCTCCACCAGCCTGCCAATGCACAAAATGACCAACACAGATCTGGGTAGACTCCTGCAGAGTGAGGAAATCCAGAAAGCACTTCATGCTCCCAAGTAAGGCTTGTTTTGAGTGTTCCCATTGCTACTTGGATATAGAGTGACTTGGATTTTGAGGCATTTGCTTATGTTTGCAGTTCTTTGTGTCTAATGAACAAATTGTCATTTGTAGCAAAAAGATTAAGCGCAGAGTTCTCAAGAAGAACCCATTGAAGAACTTGAGGGTTATGATGAAACTCAACCCTTACGCCAAGACAGCACGCCGTCGTGCCATCTTGCAGCACAAACCCGAGGTATGTATACCTGAAGCCTGAGCAATAAAAACAGGCCTTTGAACTTGAAAATGTACTAAGAACAAACATACGTTAATGACTTTCCTCTCAACAGATCAAGGCTAAAATGTTGAAGCCGAAGGTGAAGAGGGTTAGGAAGGCCAAGAAGCCAGCAGCAGCTGCTCCTACTCCTGCAACTGAGTAGATCTGTGTTCATACACTGCAGTCTGGCAATGGTTTCAACCAATAAACATCTAAAGTGAACGCTCTTTCAAGTCTGTCTTTGAAGACTGTTTTGTACTTGCAGCTCATCTTCCACACAGGGGCCCAAGACTAGTGTTGCACCCCCTTAATGGAACACATTATGTAATATAAAATATGCTGTCAAACTGAAATTATGGAGACCCTAAGCAACCCTTGCAGTGGCTACTCAATGTTACTGTATTAATTCTTGTACAGTTTGTAATTGAACACAAAGGAAACAGTTCATTCCAGTCTGACTCAACTGTGGTGTTATGGCAAAGAAGCAGTCAGGATGACAAAATAATTGAGAAGTAAAGTTCAAGTAAGTGTATGAATAATAATTATGGAAATTTCCATGTGTTTTCTTTCTAGTTTGCAAGTTACACAACTTATGTAACTACTTAGCTTGTTTAGACTGTTTGCTGGAACAGTCTCATGTTAAACAGTGCAGTATATCTCACAGTTAAAGACAAGATATTCTAACGAGTGATTGAGCAAGTTGAATGCTAGGCACTGGTCTGAGTTTAAAGGGGTGGAGGGTTCAAACAACCTGCTGGGGGGACAATACAACCAAGGCAACATGGTCTTAAATACAGGTGGAATTTAAATATGTAGAACACTGTAGATGATACCACATTCCATTAATGGAAAGGGATGAGTTTTGAGTGGGGGGGATGGTATTCCCTTGCTTTCCCCCATCAGATCAAGCCCTGCTTACAGCACAGCTTTCTGACACACTAGTGTGTGAAATCCTACAACCATACAGCCAAACTTGTTTGTAACCCAAAGTTTTGAATTTTGCAGAAGAACTTGCTGTCATGTAACCGTTTGTTTGCTGTATGGATCGCCTTGCATGTTTACTTGGCTCAGTGATTTTCCCCATTTATGAAACAGTTCATCATATGCATTGTTAGTCTGTAAACAGACTAAAAGAGGCACAATTCATACAAAATCTGTCCAGTTTGACTAAAGCAGGACAAAACTTGCACATTTCTATAAGATAAAGAGGTTGGAACACGGTCGTGCAAAAATGAATTATTACTGTTCTCATTCATAAAACCACACTTCAGAGGATAAAATACAAGAAGAAAGTGGGATATAGAGTGTTTAACAGTGACATAAAATTATATTTTCCCTTTGTAACACTATTAATACACTGATCAGGCATAACACTATGACCACCTCCACTTACTATATAGGTGCACTATAGTAGTAGTAGTTCTACGATTACAGACTGTAGTCCATCTGTTTCTCTGCATACTTTGTTAGCCCCCTTTTACCCTGTTCTTCAGTGGTCAGGACCCCCATGGACCCTCACAGAGCAGGTACTATTTGGGTGGTGGATCATCCTTAGCACTGCAGTAACACTGACGTGGTGGTGTGTTAGTGTGTGTTGTGCTGGTATGAGTGGATCAGACACAGCAGTGCTGCTGGAGTTTTAAACACTGTCCACTCACTGTCCACTCTATTAGACACTCCTACCTTCAGTCTACCTTGTAGATGTAAAGTCAGAGACAGTAGCTCATCTGCTGCTGCACAGTTTGTGTTGGTCATCCTCTAGTCCTTCATCAGTGGTCACAGGACACTGTTGGCTAGATATTTTTGGTTGGTGGACTATTCTCAGTCCAGCAGTGACACTGAGGTGTTTAAAAATTCCAGCAGCACTGCTGTGTCTGATCCACTCATACCAGTGCAACGCACACAAACACACCACCACCACATCAGTGTTACTGCAGTGCTGAGGATGATCCACCACCCAAATAGTACCTGCTCTTTGAGGGTCCATGGGGGTCCTGACCACTGAAGAACAGGGTGAACGGGGGCTGACAAAGTATGCAGAGAAACAGATGGACTACAGTCTGTAATTGTTGAACTACAAAGTGCACCTATATAGTAAGTGGAGCTGATAAAATGGACAATGAGCGTAAAAACAAGGAGGTGGTCATACTGTTATGCTTGAACAGTGTACACTACAGAAAGATGTGAATTTAAATGCAGTGGTCCTTTCTGGTTTTAGTCTGACTCTTCGCAATAACATTTAACCTTATGTCACAATATTTCCTTCTTGAAATAGTACTTCTAGGACTAGTGTGAGAATAGTCACAGTTACATGACCATTTTTTCCACACATGGTCCTTCAGAACCCCTACTGCACTGTTTTTCCTGCTGTCAACATCCATAACTCCACTTATCAGCTCATTAACAGGCCCTTATAGAGGCTAAATTTGATGTGTTGGAGCAGGAAAAACACTAAAAGGAAAGACTAGGATTGGGATTGAGTCATTTAATGCTATTGCAGCTTAGAGTTCACACCTACGTGTGAAATTTTAGTGTATTTGCCATAGAAAGACAATACGTTCAACAATTTTCAGTTAAATAAATTGTTTATTATAATTTATAACAGTTCATTGAGTTTTCTCAACTGACAAATTTATAGGTCTGCACAAACTTTACACTTGAACTAAAGGGAAAGGCAAAGAAAGGCAAGAAAGAAGTTCAAATAAAGTATTACTGCTGATAAAAGTAGTAACATTTCTGATGTTATTCGTCAGGACTGCTTTTGGACATGAGCTTTGGTGTCAAAAGCATAGAAATGTAAAAAAAAGTCTAGAGTAGGAAACAGAATACACTTGTGACTAAACTAAACATATTCCTTTTTTTTAAAACTCAAATGCATTTCAAAGCAAAATTATTTTTGTTGTTTACAGTTTTATTAAAATGGTCTTAACACTTCAAATTTCAAATAGTACTTAAAATTTCAGCAATGTAGAGCACACTTAAAAATTGAGATATAAAAAAGCTTTGTTCTCAGTAAAGTTGGCCACAACAGTACGTTTAAACAGGCAGTAATGCATAAAGTAGCTAATAGCGAGAAACAAAAGCCCAGCAGACTTTTGCAATTTGGATGACATTCATTTCTTTTTTACACTGACTAATTTTAACAAATGATTACTTTCCTATACCAAGCTTAACTACACCAATTTAATTAGGCAAAAAAAATTAAATAAAAAGCAAACATGATGTGAGCATTTCAGCCTGTGTAAAAATGGCCTTTGTTGTTCACTTTGAAGTCTCACTCATAGCGAGTTTCTGCAGTATCGGCATGCAGTTGATGGCTTTTCCGTTCCCAGGAGAGCAGCGAGGAATTCTCAGGCCCTGGGACAAAACAGTTTAGCTGGGATCTACTAACTGTTTATCCTATAAGAAAGGGCCTAGTTTCTGCTGCATCCAGCAGCACTGTGTGTTTTCCCAGTCTGAGAATGTTTTCTAGTGGCACCAAGAAATACAACATAAAGGAGCAGCTATTAATTTTGACCAGCTTCTGATGAAGCCTAACCTTCAATACAATTGTGTAATTTGAAATGACATCTTTATTTGGGCAAAACATAATTTGTGCAATCAGGGCCACATTCAGCAGAGAAATAGTTCAGACCAGGTCGATATTCCTTACATAACTCAAGTCAGTCTGATCACACTGACTTTGTATGAAAGATTCAAAAAAGCTCTGCTACTGAATGGAGGCCGCGATTATTACAGCAGCACGTTTTATAAACCTCATCTCAGTACTGGTGAGGGGTTAAAAGAGGCAGTGATTGGCTACTAAACTGATTGGCAAACTGCTTTTAAACATGAGCCCACATAGAAACACTGGTGTGTGTGTGTGTGTGTGTTTAGCTTAGAGAAAGAGAGACCCTCTTACATCCCCACACTGTGTGTCGGGGTCACTGGCTGATTTAAGCCAATGGTGGTGCACAACCACCCTGCAAAGTCCACTTCTTCTGCTTCCGACTTCTTTATGAAGGGATGGACCTAAGGGGAACAAGAGATTGGAGTTTTGTTTGATGGTGAGTTTTGTGTGATGGTGAATTTATTCATACTTTATCTTATCTTTCTAAAAGGCAGCGATATAAAATCCATGTTTTACTGTTTAATTGTGGAAAGGGTCTTTTACTTTGAAAGGACAAATATTTGATGACAATACATGACCAGGAAATCTTATTTCCACTCCTTTTTTCTATGGACACTGAGAAGGTCATGACATGAGGGCTTCAAAAGTTGACTAACTGTTCAATATTTAGGCAATATGCCTTCTACTGTCTGAAATACTATCTGGGGTAGATAAACTTTCTTTTTGCATTATTAAAACCAGATCTGGTAAGTTTTTTGTAAAATTGTCAAATGAATTTGTTGCCGTATGGCAACTATATGTGAATATGGAAGTGATCTGTGTGCATTGAACCTATTGGACTGTAATTGACGTACAAAGCACTAGGCTACTCTGAAAGTATAATTGCAACTTTTGACTACATTAAAAAACATTTTTTATATATATATTTTGTAATTCCAAACTGTTGTAACTGTTACATATTGTCTGAATTGTAAATTACACCACTGGAAACCATAGTTTTACCAGAAGGAATTGCGATATCCCACCCAATCTATATGTTATGTGTATGTATGTATCAATTTCTAGTTAATCAAAACATGTTGATGATGACTAAATGAAATGAATGATATTGAATGAGAATGATTAAATGAAATTAAATAAGTTTCGATCAAGAAAATGATGTCCCCATATCAGGCCTAGGTATTCTTATTATGATGTTATTATTAATGTACATTCCAAATAATAATTGAAATTAATTAATTATTTTAAATTATTTTAAATACTGGGTTATATATTCCACTAAGTGTACATTGGATTTGTTTAATCTTGTTTTCAATAAAATTATGTTTTTAGAGAAATATAAGATGTTATGGTACTTTCCATGTTTGAGCATTGTTGCCATACAGCAACAATTTACCAACTACCCCTCTTTACATTTTTTTTTCAAATATTTACATTGATTAAGCAATTTTAAATAACAAAAACATATTAACACATTTTTTTAGCATGTTTAAGCAGTAATTTATACAATAGAGGGCTAGACAAGTTCCAGTCCGAGACCAGGGGCCAGATTCACAAAAGCTTTTCTAACAAAAAAATTTACAAAAGATCTTCAGACAAACACTAAGGAGTTAATAAGAATGTTCTTAAAGGCAAAAAAACTTTTTTAAAAAAAGAAAAAAAAATAGATGTGATGGTGGAGAAGGTTAAGCAGAAGATTTATTTTAGGTTTATTTTATCCTTGGAATATTTTAACAAATATATTTTGTGAAACTCAGAAGTTAAATTTTAAGAGGTTTACCTTGTTAAGTTTTACAGTCTAAGACAAGTGTGAGACTGTCGTGATGTAAGAGCAAGTGGTAAACTTGAACAAATTTTTTTCAAGAATACCACCTTAAGAGAAAAGTTAAGAAAAAAATTAAGACAATTATCATTTATCTCAAGTTTTTTTCTTAGTCATATTAAAAATCATATTTAAGAAAGATTTCACTTTTTAACACACTTTTCTGAAGAAAAGTCAAAATAAAAAACAAAAAAATGAAAGATTTTGAATTTATCTGTAGCTGATTCCTTAATAATAAATTTATAAATAACAAATACATTAGCATATCACGTTCACATTACAAGCCTCATTGCTCAAGTCTGATTTTTTGCTCAGATCCAATCTCTCCGACATGATGGTTCATACTCGTTTAGGTAAGTGACTCAAATCTGTCATTAATGTGAACGAAACGGTGTCCTGAAATGACCCGCATGCGCACATCTTAATCAGTACATTCACGTGAACTAATCGCATGCGTCATGAACAGCAAACAAACTAACGAGCAGAACGAGCCTTCGCTGCGAATATAATTAACTCTAAACAGCTCTCAGTGGTTCATAACTAAAGCGAGAGCGAAAAAGGTGAGATGTGTTGCTTTCCCACCATTTACACAGGCTTTAACATCTGTTCACAGCTGCTGCCAGGGTAACACTGAACGATGGTGCATGCACAATGGGAAAAAAGCCCATGAATGCCGATCTGAGCGTTCACACTAAGGTCGCATGGCCACGAATCGGATACATATCCGATCTCGACCACATGCGAAAGTGGCTCAGGTCGGAAATTGAAAAAAAAGTCAGATTTGTGCGTCCACACAGCTCTGAAAACATCAGAGTCATATTAGGGCAAAAAATCGGATTTGTGCCACTTCAACCTGGTAATGTGAATGTAGCCTTAGTTCAGATCGGTTTTCTGATTTTTGTAAGGAAATGACGGTAAGATAATTCTTCTGCTCTTAATTAGGCTCAATTAAATAACATGTTAATTGACTGAATGCTGAATGAGCAGAGAGTGACCTGTTTCCGTTAGCCAATCTGCATGCAGATCTAATTTTAGACATGTGAATGTTGATATTTGATGTTGATGTAAAGATATCAGAGCTTCTGTCTGCATGCCACTGTGATACTAAAAAGAATAATAAATAAAAGAGTAGGTATATATTAGGTAGTATAAGGCTAACAAAATTAAACCCTGGTTAGCCTACTAAGCAATATGTATCACTGAGCTTAATATATTAACAGCACATTATGTTAACATTAGTAGCTGCTTCTGGTTTAAAATGCCCTTCACTTTAAACAGCCGTGCTTTCACGGACAAAAAACACTCATCATCTCAAGAAAAATTTCCAAGGCCAAGATACTGTCAACAACAAGACAAGACCAAGACCATTCGTTTGGACTCAGACTGGACTCAAGTACTACAACACTACTAATTTTTTTTTGTAAAAAAAAAAAAAAAATTTGTGAATTTTCTCACCATCAGTTGCTTCAGATCTGCCCTCTCTGCTGGATTTTTGATTAAGCTGAAAAAAAAAACACAGTTAAGTCAATCCACTGCATGCAGGCCAACTGGCCTGTCAAATTAATGTTGTTCACATTTGAACCACTAGATGGCACACAGAGCTTATAGTAACTTAAAAAGCTCTCAAATCCTGTAAGCTGCAGTCCAGCATTTAGCCTTTAAAATCAAACCACAGTTGCCTCTTACCATTTGTTAACAAAATCTTGGAATTCGGTGCCAAAGATGCTTGGCAGCTTGGGTGGTGGCTGAAAATAGAAAGATGATTCAGTTAGGCCAAAGTAAGCCCACCATCAAATCCTCACCTTAATTCATTTAGTGTCACACAAGGCATGGTGGTCCATCCGAAACAGCTGAGCACATACCTCATTGACAATGTAGTCAAGCAGCTCAAAGATGGCCATTGGGGGTCTACTGTCAGGTCCGTACGCTGTAAAACAAGAAGACATTCTTACTAATAACAGCCAAGCATCCATACAGAAAACCAGAGCTCGCGGATGGAATGTAGCCTAGTAAAGCCTCTGCAGTTCCGCAGCCTAACATAAGTGATTATATCCTTTACTAAGACAAGTGGGTAATGTGACAGTTCCCAGATGGTCCTTCGTTCTGTGGTGGGAAGCACTTACAGCTGCCAGGCCGGCCTGGGGGCCTGGGTTTGGGAGAGGCCTCGCTGGATGAGGGGTCTCCTTCCATGGGGAGGCCAAAGATCTGCTCTAGCTCTTTAGCATCAGGAGGTGGGATGGGGAAGCGCCCAATGGCCATCTCCACCAGGGACAGACCCATGCTCCAGATGTCAGACTGCACCGAGTAGTGAGTGCCCTGCAGACGCTCCGGCTGGAGAGAGAGAGATAGGGAGAGAGGAAATGAGTCTGAGCCAGGAGGAAGGGGTATGGCAACAAACAGTTCAAGCAAACATCTTATGAGAAGCTACAACTCTAATGTCCAGTTGAAAAGTTTGACCACAGGCACACTGCTGATAGAGGCTAATAATCCAGTCCTTTACAACATGGTTAAATCAAATCTACATTCCTTTAAATTTCAAAGAATCTCTTTTCATGCATCCTTTAAAAAAGTACACTACCAAAAATGTTCTATGGCTTGTAAATAACTACGCATCAATCAGAGACCACTCTTTATTTATTTAATTTCCAATAAGGCCATTAGGTACAAGTTGATCATTTTTCAGGAAATATTTCAAAGTAGATTATATATAAGATAATCCACTTGCATATAGAAGAAAAAAAAGGGAAAAATTCAGGAGTTTCCAAAATGTGAGTTCAAAAATGATTAAAAGACATAGAGGAACTGGGACTCCTAACAACCATGGAAGACCTGAAGAACACCAAAACAGTCACCATTAGATAAACAGTACTTCTGTTATGAAAGGAAAGGTCTGGAAGGATATGTAGCTGTCAGGAAGCTGTAGGGAAGTGAACCAAAGTAAAGAGTTTGCTTAAATGTTTTTTTTTTCCAACACTGAAAAATATATAAATACATAAATATTCATAACGTACTGGAAATTGAATAAACAAAAAGGTGGTTTCTGACTTTTGCATAGCACTATACAGCCCTTTTATAAATTATTTTATTAATGTATATTAATTCAATTAATTATTAATGTAAAAAATATAGGACAAATGATGTAAAAAGAACCAAAAACAGGAAAATATGTAGCTGAGAGGCTTTGATCTTAGAGCGACAATATACCACAGGTCATTCATCATGGATATTATAAATAATAATAATAATAAATTTATCATTATTATTATCATCATTATTATTGATACTTATTATTATATATTGATATTACTGAAGCTAACCTGGTAACTTTATGATGGCACACATAAAAATAAAAAAGCATTCAAATGGTTCTTTGCGCTGTCATGGTTGCATTCCCTTTCCTAAAGAATCTTTGAGAAACGCTGTTCTTTAAGAGTGAAGTGGATAAATGGACAAGCAAAAGGGAAATTTCTGACAATCATGTTTTCATATTTGCTCCAACTGTCACTGATATGCTAAGAGAAAAAGACTGAAAAATAAAATGAAGACTGAAAAATAAAATGAAAATTGAAATGAAATAGCCAGATGGATCCGTTTTTAGGCTCACAAGGTGTGTCTGAACGTTCGGCAGCTCATAATCAGGAAATAAGCACATCTATGAATTACATCTTGGTAAATATGTAAATGTGTTTTTAAAGAACCTCAGTGAGAGACAATCCAAATGGCATGTTTATAAAATATATTTAAAATGTTAAGAAAAGATATAGTAGGTATGGAATGTGTCATGATAATGAGCAGTGAAGGTTCATAACTAGGAAAAATAGTTCAGCTTCCCTTACACAGCTTTCCAGGATTGTGATTAACAAGAGAAGCTTGACTCACAGACATGTAGGATCTGGTGCCCACAAACGAGTTGGCCATGGAGTCGATAAGCTGCCCACTCACGCCAAAGTCACACAGCTTAATCTCACCCCGTGAGTTCACCAGGATGTTGGATGGCTTCACATCTGCAAGACAGGAACAGGAACTCATGTAATGCAGAAATGAGCAGGATGGAATTAAAGAGGGACTGAACCTGCTCACCTCTGTGCATGATCTTGTGTTTCTCTCTAAGGTAGGACAGCCCTTTAATCACCTGTAAGCATATAGGCAGGACATTTTATTTAAAGAAGGTTATTAGCCCACGCCATAGGATGTAATTTCTCTTATTTAGGGAACAGCCAAGAGGATGGCCTGTAATTCCTTTGCAATCTACCTGGAACTGTTCCAACCACTTAATTCAAATGTGACTGTTTGCAAGAGAGGGGTAACTGTGGTACGCACCGCAATGCTAACTTTGCCCAATATTTGCTCTGGAATCTTGCCTGCTTTCTTCAGCGACTGGTCCAAGGAGCCACCATCCTGCATTAGGAAATTAGTGTTAATGTTCAGTGCACTCAGTTCCCTTAGAATTTATAAAAAGCATGTGCAATGAATAAGGCCAGTATGTAGACTATGTATACCGTTCCAGCTGTACAGATATAAGAAGCAATAAGTAAGTACATTTCCGCAACTGATCAATACACAAGACAAAAAAAGAGAAAGTCAAGGCCATAATTAACTGTAGTTAACATTTTGTCATGGTCATGAGAAAACCTCATATCTCACAACTTTGAAGGAGGAGCAAACTTCATAGGAGATGGAAAAAACATAACTTTAACAGGAGAATAATAAAAAAAAAAACTTTTGAACATATTTTAAAATAAATTAAAGGAGGCGTTCACTGAAAATCACGTCTGTGTTTTGGATGTTTTCTAGATGCTCCAAAATATATCAATACATGCAGTGTTACGGTTTGTTCCATTTTTTCTCCAGCAGTGACTAGTTCACAAAGTATACTCAGATGGATTTATCCCTATATGTATGCTAATTGCTTTGTCAGCATCCTCAAAACATTTTTTTTAGAAACATAAGATGCTAAAAATGTCCCAGCAACTCCCAGCTTTATTTTGTTTACAGTAGCTGATTAGCTCACTCAGTAATTAGCAACATGAGGTGCATTATTGTTGGTTGTGGAAATGCTCAAGTGAAAGCACAAATCACTGTACATTTTTTTTACATGGCTTCAAGTGATAGTGCTGCTACTGATTTTAAAGTAATATGAGTAATACATGGGGGTGTATTTGCTTTAGTTTAAGTTTAAATTATTTAAGCATTTGATACAAAAAACCTGTCTGAAGTGCCTGGAAATTGCCTAATAAGTACTGAGAAGCACTTACATGTTAAATAAGGTGTATTTTATTTGTCCCTTTTAAAAAAAAACTTGAAAATAACATTTTTTCAAATGTCTTTTGGTCCATTCAACAAGGACACGCAGTGTCACTGGTGCAAAGTACTGCTCTTATGAAGTATTACAAGTTATTTGACTTCTAATGTTCCTTGTGGAGAATGTTAAAACTGCTAAATGTGAGTGAGGGAGTGAGTTAGGAACCATTTCCATGAGGTGCTTCACATCTTTAAAATATTTCACACAGCGTAAAAGGGCAGCTGTAAAAACAGTGTACAGTGATGATATGCAGAGTTACTCTTTCTGGATAAATTAAGAATTTAGTTGACGTTTAATGTGAATCTGGTGTGTGTAACAGTGAAAGAGCTGTACCATGTGCTCCATACAGATGCTGATCTCTCCATCGCTGTAGAAGGCCCCGTAGAAGCCCACAATGTAAGGCGAATTACATTCATGCAGAACCTGCAGCTCCCGGATGATCTGGTTCCTGATGGCTGGCTTGATCTCCAAGTGAATGAGCTGAGAAATCACAGAAGAGAAATGGCTGATGGGAACTGTAGTTCTGTAAAGGTTTGTGGTGTGATTTCTGCTTCCAGGCTTCAGGAGGCACGCAGCACCAGAGCAGCATGCGTGAGTGCTGCATGCAGCTCAGTCAAGCAGAAATACAGTGTGTAATGTGAACTGTCATGCACTCAGCCATGTTCAAACACTGTCTGCAAAGAATATATCAGCCCAGATTACAAACACCATAATTTAATAAGCGATCTTTGTTCTAACTTCCATTTAATGAGCTACAGTCAGATCTTTCTTCTGTCATAAACTGCTCCCAGGACACAACCCATACTCAGAGAGCAGAAAGTGGAATCTAACTTGTGGCCTTGTGCTCTATAAAAAGACATGATGAAATCAAAAATCAATGCCTTCCAGAGATATCGGAGAACAGGGGACAGCACAGCTTTGTTTAGCAGCTGCTTCTTGAAAAACTGCTGCAGATATCTCTGTGCAAGGATGGTGAGGAGAGACCTTTTTAAAGGAATACTCTAGCATTTTTCCTCCTATATTCTACCTGCCACATCTGTACTGTACGGTTGATTACCACGGATAATCATTTTTTACACACTACTCTGTCCACTGGCTACAAACAAAAGTGTGTCTCAAATCAGCTGGTTTTCTGTCTTTTTGTATGTACAGGAAATCCTTTCAGAATTATTGTCCATGACAGAAATGGAGACTCTAGTGAGAGTCACATGTTGACTAACTCTTAACTCAACTTAAGACTCATGAAATTTTGGCCTGAGGAAAAAACAAAAGAACGAAACTGATTAAATTTCAAACTACCAACCTTTAAGTTGTAGTTACACATCCTGTAAAATATACTAAACTTTCAGCTGGGGTAGTTATTCTGCTGTCTAGAAAGTTTACATGCCGTATAAACTACAGGCTAACCAAAAAACAAGTTGTTTTGCCTCTTTCCTTAAAACACTGCATTTACTGCGCTCCAGTTTTGCCATTCATACTTAAGGTTTATTCTCGAAAGTCTTGTTTTTTGAAGCCATGTCAATCTGACGTTTTTAGAAAGGGTTTACTTTTATAGAAATGCAATGTCTGCAGCTAATAACAGGACTAAACTAAAATTCTAAAAAAACTAAAAACTCCAGATGCGACTTGCACTCACACCCCAGAGACTCGAGACTTGACTCAGACTCAGACCAAGACTTGACTCAGACCCTAGAGACTTAACTCACACTTGCACCCAAGAAACTCCAGACTTGACTTGGATCCCAGAGACTTGACTCACACCGATGAGACTTGAGACTCGACTCAGATTGGTATGAATCGGTTCACAATCATCTTTCGGTCTGTGGTTATCAACCACATATGCCTTTTCTCTCTTGCTGAATACGTGAAGGTCAACTTTTATTCCTTATTCAATATTATTATTGATGTGGATATACACCAGTCAGGCATAACATTATGACCACCTCCTTAATTCTATGCTCATTGTCCATTTTATCAGCTCCACTTACTATATAGGTGCACTTTGTAGTTCTACAATTACAGACTGTAGTTCATCTGTTTCTGTGCATGCTTTGTTAGCCCCCTCACAGAGACGGTATTATTTGGGTGGTGGATCATTCTCAGCACTGCAGTGACACTGATGTGGTGGTGGTGTGCTAGTGTGTGTTGCGCTGGTCTGAGTGGATCAGACACAGCAGTGCTGCTGGCGTTTTTAAACACCTCAATGTCACTGCTGGACTGAGAATAGTCCACCAATCAGAGGATGACCAACACAAACTGAGCAGCAACAGATCAGCTATCGTCTCTGACTTTACATCTACAAGGTGGACTGACAAGGTAGGAGTGTCTAATAGAGTGGACAGTGAGTGGACAAAAACTTGTGCTTAAAAACTGTGTCTGATCCACTCGTACCAGCACAACACACACTAACACACCATCACCATGTCAGTGTTACTGCAGTGCTGAGAATGATCCACCACCCAAATAATACCTGCTCTGTGAGGGTCCATGGGGGTCCTGACCACTGTATGATTGTGAGAAATGTGTATAATTGGTGGATGGTAAATGAGATGGATTTATTGTTGTCCAGTGCTGTGTGTCAAATCACCAAACAGAACAGAACTCTCCCATAATATCAATGTGCTGAAAGCTGCATCTACCTTCCTTGCCATGATGAGTCCAGAGGGTCTGTGTGAAACCTTGAAGACCACTCCGCCATTTCCGGCACCCAGCTCACAAATCTTTTCAAAGTCATCGTCCTTCAACTCCCCTACTTTCTGCTTCTGCGTGAGGAAGGCCTCAAGACGCTTCTTCTGCTGCTCATCCAGTTCCAGCTCCTCTAACTTCTTCTGCAGGGCTTCCAGGTTTGTTCTACACACAAAAACACATACAAATTACAGTCATAAGAAAAAAAAGTTGCATAAAAATTTCAGAAAAAAGGTCTAGCATTTTAAGGAAGAAGGCTTTGGTATCCTAAATGCAGTATTTTAGCCCAGTAGCTAAATATAGACAGCCAAGACCAAAAACAGAAATGTCATATACTGTGATCTAAACCACAAAATCCAGAAGCATCTATGGAATTTCCATTGAGTCATTGTGCTGCAAGGTATATTTGCAGGCTATGACATCACTGTCCTGAGCTGTGCTTGCTTTTATGCACGTAGTCAATAGGTCTGTCTGTAGATGCAATGAGAATTTCCCCACTTGGGATCAATGGAAAGGAACATTAATAACGATTCAGGAACATGCTCCAATTTTCAGCCAAGACAAAGGTAAGATGACTGAATGGGCCATTGTACACAGTATGGCCAAAATAAATGTGTGTGTGTAGAACGGTTAGCAGACACTTTGAACTCTGCTTGAGGAAGCCGGTAGTTCCTATGAGCATGTGTGCCTCTCCTTCGGCTCTGTTGTCATGGTGATGCATTTCCTTAGCTTTCCGTTTGTGGAATGAACCTCCCTGACCCTCCTTACTCTCCATCTCTTCTTCTTCTCCTCCCATAACAGCCTCTTCCTTTCTCCCACTGCAGAACTGCAGCCCAAAGGAATCCAAAAACTCTTGATGATGAGTGGATGCTAGAGGTCAAATGAGGATCATGCTTTCTCCTCCTATTCATTTGTAGCATTACTGGTTGAAAGAATGTAAAGCCTTCCTTTAAACAATGTAGGCAAATATTATACACACAGAACAGTCTTGGCCCTTTTTGTTATTAAATGATGAAAAGCTCAAACTCTCAACGGCTCAAACTCTAATGTGAACATTTCAAATGTATCTCTGAGATACTGATTTCAGTGCTCCTGATATCCGCAGTGTTCCTTGAGGCTGTACTGAAACTGCTTTGGTGCGAATGGAGGCTCCAAACAGCAGTGACAAATGTCACATTGTTATAAAAGAAAAGTATGTGCTCCAGTGTGTTCCAGGTGCACCAGAGAGCACTGAAAAACCCCGTCTCAAGGACCCCAGCCATTCAGATGTAAAATACGTCTTTTCCACTGCTATAGGCATCTCAGCAACACCACCACTACCTCAGAAGAGATGCTCTTACACATAAATTTACATCAAAATCTCACTCAGAATATAAAAGCTGATTTTTTTTCTTTTTCTGTAATTAGACCAAAAGCACGACACAGAGAGGTGAGGGCCTTCGAGAGCACTCACACTCTCTCTCTCTCTCTCTCTCTCTCTCTCTCTCTCTCTCTCTCTCTCTCTCTCTCTCTCTCTCTCTCTCCACCCACAGCAGTGTGAGGGTTAAGTGCTCTCTTCTTCGCCAACACGGCCGTCATATCCATGGAGACGAGGCCGCTGCGTGTGAGAGAGGGAGTGAGAGAGTGAGAGAGTGTGTGGGCGGCGTGGGTGCCGTGTGAAGAGGAGGCGACGATGGCGCGCGGCCCTGAGAAAACTGCACGCGCTGCACGTGGGAGAGTCCACAGCCACGGCCTGTTCGCTCATGCGCGCTCAAGCACGGCACAAGCAGCAAGCACACGCAACAGTGGTCAGAGTCTCACAGTGGAGAGCAGAGGAGCCCAGAAAACATCCTCAGGTAAAAGTGCTGCTCCTCTGGTGAAATAATGACTCGCGAAGAAGTAGCAACCCAACATAAACAGACAACCAGAGGAAAAACGAATCGGGCCAAAAACTGAGTTCCATATACAGCTGCTGTGGTAGTGCAGCTTAGTAGGCCTGCATTTATTAGCAGGACCTCACATTTGTTAGATGCCTCCCTTCTCTTAAATGAAAATGGGGAGAATTGGAAATGCAGAGTGAAAGTGGTTCAGGTGACCTTAAAGTTTTCCATTATTCACTGTCCAGTGCATATAGTGCATATATGGAAACAATACTGCTAAAACAGCTCGTTTTGAATTCAGTGTTTCTGTGATGTCATGAGAACCATCTCATTTACATATGCCCACCTATTCGGCCTGCAGCAATTTAGCACCGCCCATTCATGCTGAAGTCATGAGTGCTTTTTGAATGAGGCCCAGTTCAGGGCTGCCAATCAGAACAAAGCTAATTTATATCAGTCTTAGTCACAGTAAGAGAAAAGGCCTGTGTAATTCTAAGGGAATTATACACAAATGTTATAAGCGGGCCTGAAGGGAAAAATAAAACACGTATAAAATGTAGAAAAATGTAGGATGTTGGATCATTAAAAGTATTCGCATTTAAAAACACTCAGAAATCAACCTGGAATCAGTACTGACCTTTTTGCTGTGTTAAAAAGCATAGAGATAACAGAAGCATGTCAGGCATATTATTTTTCACGTTCACTATAAGTTTAATGTTTTTCACTCATGTAAAAGGTTAAAGGTCGTGTTATGTCATATCTCTTGAACTCATGTATCATCTAGAATTGTAAGTTTATCAGATGTAAATGCGACTTTGTCATCCATTCAAGTGCAGTTTACAGGTGGAAAAATTGCTGTTTTCCACCTGAATGCAGCATATGCCAGCACGCACCAAAAGGTGGGGAAAAGTAATATTAAACAATAATATATTATTTCACCGCCCTCCCCCATATCCCCATCTATCACTGAACAAAGTACTCATATTGTTAAGAGACCCTCCCTGATACATTGTTTCCCACTAAAATACATCACACAGCATTTCATGCTGACTTTAAAGGGGAATACCACAGATCTTTAAAAAAATAACAAAGTGCGCCTGGCAGCAAAGAAGTTCATGTGACCAGCAGAACAAAATTAAATTAAACTCAGAGGAGGAATTAGTATGCTAGCTAGTATGCTAAAATGCACACACACACACACACACACACACACACACACACACACATTTTCTAAGCCGCTTATCCTTCTGGGTCACGGGGGGAGCTGGAGCCTATCCCAGCTGTCATTGTGTGGAGGGAAGGATACACCCTGGACAGGTTATGCTAAAATGTATGAATGACTAAAATGGAACACACTGAAAAGCAGATTTCTTTCCTTACAAATGTACTTGATTAGCCTCCAATTAAAGGGCCCCTCCATGTACCAAGGATTAACTTTAGATAGTATGTTTTAGGCCAGAAGGACCAAAAACCTGTTTGTTGCTGTCCAAAATGGTAAGTTTACAGAAGAGGCCAAAAATGTTCTATACATTCAATGTAAGCTAAAGTAAAGTGATTTTATTCCAAGAAGTTTTGGACCATTTCTGTTATACTCCATTCATCATGATATTGCCACACAGTGTAAAGAGAAACTGCCAGGCTCAAATGACATAGAAAAGTAAAAATCAAAAAAATGGAGATGGATGTTTTTCTTTGGACAGTGGTGACATGTTGTAAAACAATGTCTAAGGAATCAGGCAATTTATTCGTAAGCACTTTATGGAATAGCTGGAGTTAAATGCTTTGGACCTCTTTCTATCATCACTGCAGTAAGCAATTCTGTTTCTGAACAATGGCACACTTCGCAGCAAACCACTCTGAATGACTGTTTTTATCCTAACAATGTAATAATGCAGAAGTCTAAAATCAGTGAAACATGGAACCTTTAGGTACAGGGAACAGAGTAAAATATAGCCACTTAGTAACTACCAACCTCCGTACACAGAAGGTTTACAGTCTGACAGAAGCTTTCTCTGGTTATTTATTTGGAACTTCAACCCCAAATTTAGTGTCAGTATGAGTTTGACTATGTTTTCCAATTTCATGCTTGTGCAATGACACAAGCATCCATACAGCCTCAAATTAAGTGTACATGAAGTACACTCAGGCGGGCGTGTGGTGAAGCAAGGTGCTGGCTGATTCGTCTTGAGTGTGAATGTGGACCAGTGCAGAGTTGGAACGTGAGCTGAGGCTGGGCTTTGCTAAACCGCAGACAGGTACACATTCTTCTGAGGCACAGAGCAGGTAGTGCCGATACAGGGCCAGTGGTTAATAATTAACCGTGCTCTTTCAGCCGCTGGCCTGCTTATCCGTGTGTGGTCTGGCTGGTGGCAGAACAAGTCCCATGTGTCGCTAACACACAGATTTAGTGGCACTGTGGACCATTGCATTATTTCTTATGTTTTTTGGAGCCATCACATTCTCTGTTTTAGTGCTCTTGAAGAACAACGAGACAGGACACACAGTGTGCAGTATGTATGCTTTGTACAGCAAGCACAGAAAAGACAGTGCAAAGGCTGCAGCACATAGTAGTTCTTTAATAAGAAAGTAGTTCTTTTATAAGTCATAAATAGGAATCAGCACTGGGAAACAGCTGCCATGTATCTAGGTTTGTGTATGTTTGTACATTAACAGAACAAAAATGTCCTTACTTTGTAGCAAGTGACAAAGAAAGAAAGGGAGCTCCCTACAAAGTCATGTTAAACTAAGTGGATTTTATAAAGTGTTTTCTACAAAAGCTGCATGCTTCAGTTTTTAAAACAAAGTACAAAACTTTTATGGTGCTGAGGTTGTCAAGGGTTAAGGTAGGATATGTATATAATGCATAGAGCTAAGCAATATGGAAATATCACAATACTTAACGAATTTTTCACAATATATGATATTTCACATTAAATCTGATGGATTAGAAAACACATTTAAAATACTGTCTGAAAAATAAACAAATACATTGATTTGTATTCAACATTTTGCACATTGTGCTGTACTAAATCCAATCAAACCAAGGGCTAAATATTATCTCTTTGTAACGGGGTGCCGTATGGGTGGGGAAAGTTAGGATGACTCTAAGGGTTTTTACTCTGCTGTTGAGTTTCAAAACTTCACTGACACCCAAGACCATTCACTCATGTGCAGGTGTGTGCAAAACACCCTGGACAAATTATGTTTAAAAAAATGGGGATTTGGAGGCCTCTCTGGTGAAATTGTGTAGTTGTAGAAGAATATTTAATAATGTGGTTTGACCCCTCAGATGTTCGCAAGTGCATTGAAAGAGTATCGAAAGAGAACTCAGTCAAAACTTGGTGAAGGACATGTCTTCCAAAGATGTAAGTGAATGATCTATTATTGTCATAATATCTTAATCAGTGTAAGGTTGATTTTGCATTTGAGACCTAAACATCGAGCCAGACCTTCTTTTTGAGACTGTGTTTGATGGTAACACATAAAGACATATGACATGGTTAAAAATCCAACCAGACACCTCTGACTTTTAAGTGAATTTTTCAGGTATTACAGGGTGATGTGCAGCAGCACACACACCATATTTCATGCACTTTTTTTAGCATGACTCAGTAATGCTACTTCATTCCATTTTAACAAAAAAAATCAATTTAGTGCTGCTTTAACACATCCCCTGCAGGGAACAAACTTAAATAAGGCATTTTCTGCTCATTTTAGTGCACAATTCAAATTATAGATGTTAAATTCAGCAAATAAACTTAACTGTGCATGAAACTGTGCTGAAGTTTGTTCACATGTGACCAGCAGCACACAAACTTTGCATACATCTATATGCAAAAAGATTTTGTCATGCTAATTAATTCTGATAATAAGAAAAGGAGACACGCTTTCAGATATATGACAGTCCTCTGTCCGGATGACTGCCACTACATAACAATATTAGTGAGCCGGAAAAAGGACTTACTGTAACCCCCCCCCACACACACACTTTTGGTCAGTTGTGACTTCCAGTTTCTCTTACTCACCACAGGAAGAGGCATTCCACAAAGCCTCTCTCTATAAAACCGGCTTCCGCAAGCTTGAATCATAGCTCCACTGACATGCATTCCAAAGTCTGCTCGCCACAACCTGTCCGGGCCTCACTAAAGGAATGTGCTCTACGCGTTTGTCACATTGAACACAGCCCTTCATACCAACCCGTTCTTCAGTACAATGAGCTGCATGCTCTTGCCCTGCTGTAGCTCACAAGTGGTTTGATGCTGCCCACTGTAAAGATGCTAATACTTCACTTGAATGCGGCAGAAAGTGTGTCATATCTTTGGGGATTTAATCCTTGGACTGTGTACCTCATACCCAGAGAAGTAACAAATGGTTCGTCTACGGAGTTGCCTAGTTTGTGTCCGAACTACTCTCACTGAGTGACTGAAGTAGGCTATAGGCCTCTTAAGAAAATAACCAAATGGCTAATTGGATCCAAATGATTTTCTCAAGTGTACTGACCATTACACCTTTTGTACAGACTCCTGTATTGCTCAAGAAATGTGACCGATTTTTTTTCCTATTACACTTTAGGAGCACAATTGCATGCGTGCATTTGGCAGACACACTTGTTCAGAGTGACTTAAAGTTTAATCACATGACACAGGTGAATTTAGCATTAGGAGTCTTGCCCAAGGACTGTTAGGCCAGGGTTATACTACACAACTTTTTCCTTGATTTTAGCCCTGATTGTCAGACTGGTTGAGACTATGTTTTAGGACAGAGCATCGAATAGTGTTTGAAAGGCACAGACTCAGATCGTTCGCCTTCCGTATCGCATATCAGACCAGTCACAGTACAGCAAACTGATTTTTTCAGACTCTGAACGTAATCTAGTAGTGTATAATGGTCAACAACTCAATGCAGATTGACTCGTCCAACAGCAAATGAAAGCTGAGAGCATGAAAGAAGTAAATACAGCAATTAAACAAAAAGAAAAAGGGCAAATGTGCAGATGGACTCACATGTGTAGCAAAGCTTTTTAGGCTTAAGCACAATTGAATGCATGTACATCAGAACCCCTAAAGGCTACCACACTGATCACATCCATAACTGACTGTTTTACCTGTTGTTTTTTTTTTATTTATTGTCACTGCAAACGGCTGCAAAAACAGCAGCATCAGCAACAGGCCACTTCATGTTTGTTTATTTGCATCACCTAGAAATGAGAGAATGCGTGTGTTGGCGTGAATTCTGTGAGCTGGGTTTAGTCCAGCAACAACTTAAAAGTTGACTAGTGTGTGATCCCCAATATTTCAGTTGCCCAAAAAACAGTGCAGAAAGCAGTCTTCTTAATGCATTAATAGTCATGTAATGTATCCAAACCTTTATCAATGTATAGTGGTGTGGTCACCCAGGCAGGAAAATGAACTCTGCTCTGTGTGGGGTGGGATGCAGCTTTGTTACAAATAAACTCCAAAAATTACCTAGATGTAAACACCTCAAACATGATCTCCAATCTGTATGCCCAATGTGTGAACATACGGTGAAAAAAGAAAACCAAGTGAAACATTATTTCCTCCTACACAACCCCGCCTCACTTTGAAAAGAGGCTCAAATCTCTGCAGTGCTGTGTGTAAAAGAACGCCTCTGTACCTCATCCTCTACCTTTAAATCAGTAATGGTCTCTCAAGGCCAAACTGTGAGAGTGAAAGAGAAGTGTCTGAGCCCTGGAGCGCCTGTGAAACAAGAGGCAATGACACGCACCAGTGAGTCCAGGCCGCCAGAGCTTCGATTGGCTCTCTGCTCAGGGACAGAGGACGAGGACCACAGGCCTGCCAAACGAAGGTGGCAGACAGATAGGCAGCCCTCGGGGTCACCAGACAGCCTCTGAACAAACAGGCGGACACACAGAGCTGGGCTTCGTTTGTTTATAGTGATAGTCACTGTAACTGATCCACCGTGATTGCATAACAACATGAAATGAGAAGCTCCAAGAAGTGGAGCATGCTGTCACAACCGTTCATCATCTCCATTTATTCCCAGGAGTTCATGAGACTTTGCTTGGGTCCTGGACATCCTCTGCCCTTATATTCCTTATTGACAGACCCTTGCAGGGCTTTAATATCTCTCTGTGATGCCCAGCTTGTATACTACCAACTGGAAACCGAATCTGTCCTTCTAACTTAGGGCTGTGAATGGGCAAGAAAGGCTGGACAGATTATTAGAAGGTAGAATCATTGCTGTTTGCTGGCTGTTCTGTTCCTACCGTGATAAGGGCTTCCTTCTACTTTTAGAGAAGGATGGGTATGGTGTCTGATTTTTTGTGAAAGCAAGACCACTTGCAACAACACAAATCCCCAGTGAATTCACACTACTTTGTTCATTTAATTCCACATAGACTTATACAAACGCTGTAGTGAGTTCATCACTATAGGTGTTAATTCACCACTGGAGATTTTGCAAAGAAATAAATCCTTAAACACTGATCTACTACCCTTAATAACCAGTGGAAATGTCAGTTAAGATTGTTAAATGTAAGTGGTTTATCAAATGCCAGGTGTAAATTCTTCTGTAACTCATCCACCTACTATTCCGCAATGGGCCTATACTTCATACTTTATATACTTCATATATTTGCCACATTTCAGACCCATAGTTATATGCAGTACAGTGGTCAGTTCGATGCAGCCACTAACAGAGTATTTAAAAACATTTCGTTGCCTAGAGCAACATTCACTTATTCTCCTGTTAAAGGTTAAGGTACTGGACATAGCCAAACTACTCACTCCGAGGCACCGGTTCCGTTCACGGCGTTTCCATCAGGAATGGGATTGAGCTGGATCGGCTCTGGCTTCCTCCGTTTCTGCATCACGGCTCTTGGTGACTAGCTTTACAGCAATCTGAAATAAATCAAGGCGAGAAACCCAATCCGCAGAAACAGCAGCGTGCTGTAGAGAGAGCGATCTGATGCATAGGTTATGCAGCTTATCACACCCACCCAATGTCTCTCTGAGAGAAATACACACGAAAACGCCAACGCTAAATGAGCTATAAAAGTCTTCCTGACTACTACAGCGCTGTTTTAAGCCGCTGTCCAGATAACACAGCCACGAATACCGAACCACTATGGGTGGATATGACTGTGGAGATGGGCTCATTGCGTCACGAAAATATTTACATCTGGCTTCCGGACAGCGTGGCTAACGCTGGACAATGGCGCCATCTGCCGGGAGATAAACTGTCACAAAAGGATCACTGGCACACAAACTGCAGATAGTGTGGATTCAGTAATCGATTAATCCAATGCAATTTAACGAACCGATTCTTTTCAGCTGTCTGTTTCAGTGAATCGAATGTCGATTTAACTTTTTTTGTGTTTAGAGAAGGTGGAGTGATGTTTTTGGCTAAATGTTAGCTGACAGTACAGTATTTTTGGCTTTGGCGCGAGCTACCCGGATGTCACCGGTTTTATTCAGCTCTTTGATTCAACCTCTCGAAGGAAAGCGTCAAAAAAGTGAAGTGAATCAGAACTGTGAGTCAGACAGGTATAGTTAAAAAAAATGTTAGATGGTGGAAATTTGTAGCCAGATGATAACATACAAAAAAGGTTTGCTAAGTTAACAGATCTGCTTGTTTGTGTGTAGATGAAAAAAACTTCTGGTTCGTTCGTGCTGGGAGAATCGATTCATCCGGCTCACGGAAAGCAGTTGTTCAGAAACAAAGAATCGTTCACGAATCGTTCAGGAGTCATGTTTTTTTGGCTAAATGTTAGCTGACAGTACAGTACTTTTGTCTTTGGCGCGAAAAAATATAGGCAGAAAATATAGTTTCACAATTACCACTATTTAATCAACCCAGCAGCCGCCTGTGGGCCCTGCTGAAAAAAAAAACACACAAAAACCATCAAAAGTCTCTGCTGGTGGTGTCCAGTAGTCACTAATGGTATTTAGTGTTTTCCTGGGTTGACATCACAGTCCAAAGGATTCTAATGGTTTAACTGGTGTTCTGAGACTGATTATAGATGCATCTGACAGTTTCCTAATGGGATCTGAAGGTGTTTTACAGGAAACTAGTTGTGGATATTGGTAACCATTAAGGCAATTCCCATTGCAAAGCAAAACCATGAAGTTTCAGTCCTGGATAGCAAATAGAATGGCTATGTTTGTGTTGTAGACATTGTGATCCCTGTTGGTTTCACCACTAAAAAATCACCACTAAGAAAATATGAGTTGCTAGTTTCTTTACAGTGAACCATTTTACATCAGACTGACAAATGACTGTGTTAGCATGCAGAAGTTCTGAAAAAATTATGTCATTCCCCTGTTAGGGGTGCTGCAGGCCACACAGGTTTCCTATATGTTTCTGGTGGCTTTGTGGTTAAGGCTTGTGACTTTAAAGCAGAAGGTTGTGGGTTCAAGCCACAGCTAGAGTAGCAAACGTGTGATAGCCTTGCACTGGCTTCAGTGGTGAGTTAAATGTACTGAAGTCAATGGCAGTCACATACAGAAACATGACTCCTACCGACGGGACCTGCCAAGTAGTTGGATCACCTGTGCGATGGTTTCATACAAACTCAATAGCTTCATGTAAAGTAGAGTTTCTTATGAATGTCAGCTCAAGGCTTTTAATTGCTGAAAAAATAACTGAGCCCACTCTCTCTGTTCACATATGATGGTAGGCCCAAAATAGATCAGCATGCAGTATGTGACAGTTGTCTGAAACGATCAGCATAAATCAGCACCATGTTACTGCAGTGTCACTACTGGTAGAAGTTTAATATATCAGTTAAAAGTTGCTGGACAGTCCTGCAGCACAGAATGGTTTACTCAGCAGATCGTGTATAGCCCCCCCGCGTGGTGCCATTGGGAGCAGAGCTAGATAATTGCTGGATTTGCATAGACATACACAAGCACTCTCCCACTGAGCTGCATCTGATCTTTTTCAAATGAGACACTGTCAGATTAATGATGCATCATGTGAGCAAAACCATGGTGTTCATTGCCTAATATGAGTCTGCAGTTTCAGAAAGGTGGCTCCCTATATGACCTCCTCCTCCTTAGCAGAGGGGTTTTGTTTTTGTCTGAGTGAGCAATGTTATAAAGAAAATCTGGGCTTGGATCAGTGTTTCTGCATTGGCTGCGTTCTGCAAGCAGGTTTGCGCAGCAGATGTGCATAATGAAGCTTTCTTTATGGATGTGAAAGGCTCTGGCACACAAGTTGGCAGCATGGCTCAGCGTTTACTTGCATTTATTTAGCACATGTTAAATGAAAGAATGGCTTACAGGCCGTTTTACTCATTATTCCTTCAAAGCAGCCCAAAGATCATTTATCCTCCTCCTTCTTCCTTATTTGGACACTGATTCTGCAAAGATTTTTTCTGCGAAGATTTTTTAGTTAACTTAAATGGTCTTTCAAATTTTTATCTGGAAATGATTATTGCCTACAGGTTAATTTTAACTGTCAGAATTTTAGCTGTTGTAAATGAGAATAACTTAACTTGATGACTTTATTAGCCATCAGGATCTTGATCTTCAATTTTCTCTGCTGTAAGATTACAACAAATGTTAGTACTAATGGTTCGAACAGATTTGGATACTTGTGGCAGATATGAATGTTTTTGTTTGCCTGACCGTGAACATGACATTACAAGATTCTTTGTATTATTAATCAAAGAAAAATGCAAATAAACCCTTAGTCAGCTGATTAATGAAATGTGGGTGAGCCTACAAACACAAGAAAAACAGCACACATCAAAAAGCTCTACCATACTCACTTAAAAAAGATGGTAAAGGCAATGGTTCTGTTTAGAACCATGGGTTCTATACAGAACCATTTCATGTTGAAATGAAGAGGCCTAGACAAGATCATAACATATTTAATGCTTAAATGGTTCTTTGCATGACGAAATGGTTCTTCAGATTGATGGAGAATGTGTTGTATATGGTTCTATATAGAATCTTTCTGAAAATGGTTCTGTATGTTTTCAAAAAGGGTTCTGCTACTGTTACAATGTCAAGCTTGTGACAATAGAACAATCTGAAGAACCATTTTCAACCATTTAAAGCATAGAGTACAGAAATTAAGTAACTGTATTCAGTCCAAGTTACATATTATAAAGGCAGTATTCAGAATACAGTTTTTACATTTTTACATTTTTAAGAGAATACTTTTTGAATACTTGCTGACTAAATATAGAAAAAGAAACATCAATGCTTATTTATTAACTATTTTAAAATCAAAGCACAGTATGTAGCAAACATGCTTGTTAGACGAATTCTACAGAGGAACTCAATTACCGACTTCTTGATAAACACTGAAGTTCCTACTAAAGCCTGAGTAGACTGATAAATCAATGTGATGACCAGTTATTTATCTCAGCTTTACTGAGCTCTGCTAAAGCCTGAGTAGACTGATAAACCAATGTGATGATCAGTTATTTATCTCAGCTTTACTGAGCTCTGCTAAAGCCTGAGTAGACTGATAAACCAATGTGATGATCAGTTATTTATCTCAGCTTTACTGAGCTCTGCTAAAGCCTGAGTAGACTGATAAACCAATGTGATGACCAGCTATCAATCTCAGTGTTACCGAGCCATGCAGTCATGGCCATGCTGATAACCATGCCAGGAGGATGCATGTGCTGGAAAAGGGACTTAATGCTGTTGTTGTTGTTTATTAGTCCAAAGTGTGTATATGTTTTATTTGTGTTATTGTGTGTCAGGGGATGTGGGTTGTTAGTGTGTTTTGTGTTAGGGGTTGGTCACCGTGAGGGTGAAGTGTATTAATTAAGTAAAAAAGGTGTTTTTCCTATGTACCAATATGTATTCTAAATATATTCTAAATAAATTACTCGTTATGTACTGCAATGGAATACGTTACTGAACACATAGCAGGACAGTGTATTCAACATTTAAGCATCACTACTTTTTAAAAATATTTCAAATACTTTTTCAATATATGTAAGCCTTGTGTTGGTCAGATCGAAAAGAAAGTGAGTGGTATCGCCCATCCCCGACTGACGGGCATCGGGTCGCGCGCGTTTCCCCGAACACGCGGACTGCGCTCATCGCCGCTGACGTCACGTGAGTTTAAAACGAGGCCGCGCGCTTCAGGCGGAGAGCAGCGCGAGGCTGCGGGAGCGACGGAGGGCGGTTAGAGACAGAACCGAGTCTTCACACGCCTGAGGAACCGACACGACCAGCGCTCATTTCACTGAGCGGAAAACTCGCTTCAGGACTGTTTCGCTGCTGTAGACTCGACAGATCAACGATGTGCGAGAAAGTGGAGACTAACATTCCCGTCACGAAGAGCAAAGGCTGAGCAGAGAACACGGAGGAAAGCAGGAGCAGCCGGTGACCACCGCGAGGTAGGCAACGCGCTCCTGGCCAGCACAGTTAAACCTCTTTAAAACACGTTTTACATGTTTGAAATCCATCGTGTGGCTTGATATATTCACGTAAAATACGTAAATACTTAAGACTTGGACTACCTGGGGAGTTTTTATTGACATGTCACTGAGCTGTTGGTGAGGCTGGCATGATGTTCCCCGAGTTTGAAGGCTTTATTTCAGATTTGTAACAGTGAAGGTGTGAAAACGACTCTTTTCTGCTAAATAATGTCGGCTACATTCAGACAGTCAATGGGACAAAATATAGTTGTGTAGCCGAAATAACGTTATGTAGCTCATATGTGGGCTGAGTTGCAGAGCCTGTGCGATGAAGACTGACTGACCGCGTGGCTCTGGACTCTGTTGATATGCATTAATAATGTGGTGTGTGTCTGTTGGATTACTCCCAGCGGGACTGTTTGCTCTCTTTGATTTCCAGAGGATGTAGTGCATGCTGCTACAAATGCACATTATTGCAGCACAATAATAACGACCCCAACTCCTGATGACAGCTAACAGCTAGCAGATTTAATGCTTATTAAAGGCGCCCGGTTACTGATTTAGCCAATTAGCCTATTTGTTTCGGCGAGAAGGTAAGAAGCCTTGCGCTCATTTAATCAGACTATGCTGGGATAGCTTTCTTGATTTAATCTAACCTCCGCTGCTGTGTGTGTGTGCTTTTTCCTGCTTTTATCGATCTCCAGTTTAGTGATGAAGAGATGCCCTAATTCAATAGGCAATAAAAGCTTGTGTTGCTC